CAGGCATTCTCTCCAAATCCTGATAATAAATACACTAAAGAGCGAACCCGATCGTCTCTAGAAAATGTAGATTTCAATTTCACTAATTTATGATAAATCATTTAGAAATTTATTCATTATGCACGACGACGAAACGCTCCCTCCAGGAAGGGCATTGCTGGAAGAAAAAGAAGAAGGGTTTTACCATCAAAAAGCCACAGGAAAAAAGCGACCATTGCCTCCAAACTTGTATCGCAACTTGGCGTACATTTCAGATCCATACGACCCAAGCAGAGACTACATTGGCTTTGTGGACCCATTGCTGGGTGTGGTCCTGGTGGATATGGAGAATCTGGATCGCAATAACTCTACTACGAAAGGCCTCGAGAGAGACCCGCTGGCAGGTTGGGGCGGGCTGACCCAACATGGCAAGCCGAGTAGTAACGCAGGAAGGTTATACGAAGGCGGATCGCAGGACAGAGAAACAGAGAATGCACAAAGCGAAATGAGCGAGAAAGATATGCACCGGCTGGCTTATGAGAAGAAAATGGGCAATCTGCTTCCGATTGGCGCCACTCGCCCCATTTCAGGATTTGCCATCAAGAAAGGGGAACTTCAGTTCAGTTCGGTATCTTCAAACGCATACCTTGACGGTTTCCACTCCGGAGACAAAGCCACGGTCGAGATCGAAGAAGAGAAGCTCGCTGCTCTAGTGCAGAAGCTAAATGCGAAGTTTGAGCGCAGGCAATGTTCGAAATGTTCTCTTGTGTAAAAAAGATGAATTGAAGAGTGGTGACTTTTCTTTGAATTATATTCATATTACCGTTTGTTCAATGAAAGATGAGTAGCATAAGACATCAACTACACAGAAAGCTACACTGACTTTGGGAACGTTTATATTCTGCGTTGTTGAATGAACTCGATTCGAGGAGGAATATTTAATGATTCTATTTCATTTTCTAATATACAGGATTTTTAAAATTATGTAGCAACATTATATTTAAGATAATTGCATTATATGACGAACGACATTACAAAATGTAATCAATTTGCGATGTATGCATGTTTTGTGTGATACGCAGTTTTCAATTGTTCACAAGAAAATTCAACTAAAATCCCTGTAACATAAATGAAACCTTGATCTTCATGAAAAATTGATTTTTCAGAACATGGGACTGAAGATTTGCAGTACTTATAAGTATTCAAAAATACATATTTTTGCAAGCTTGTCCCCGTTCACAAATTAGCAATGCAAGCTTCATCAAAATATTTATATTGAAGTGAGGACAAATTGACGCATTTGAATAGATCATTGCAATAAATCAGCCATAGAATGTTTCCCTCTAGCGAGTGTCCCCATCCTGCTCAAGTAGTTCATCCCTCCGTCCAATTATTTGAACGGAATGATGAACTTTACCTTGAAGGTAAAGAAGGGCAAGTGCGAATTTTACCTCGCGACCTGTACGATAAACTGGCCGACGAGTCTGATCCTTATGATCCAGACAAAGACTTCATTGCATTCGTTGATCCTCTTTTTGGAGTCGTGTTAGTTGACACTGAGAAGCTTCGAGATCAACTCTCCAACAAACTGATTCCACCGCTCAATGAGGACGGAAAACCATTAGAAAATAATGAGATTACTTATTTTTCTTCTTCGAATAATGACGAAAATAAACGGCAAGCACGATCTGAACGAGATGAAGACAATCATGCAGTTACCGGAAATACTTCCGCTCATCATGCTCCAGCGAAAAATGAGGTTAACACATTTTCGAAATTTTCAAAGCGTGCCTCCAGCCTTACTCCAATCAAGAGGAATACAATGGCCTCTCCCCTTGGACTACACACTATTAATCAGCCCATTACAACTACTGAAGACACCGATCTCAGCGAGCTAGAACGCACAAATCATTCTTCTGTAGCTTCTGTATCACAGTTGGCTGCAGGTTTAGGTGGAATCTTGCGGTCTCCCAAAGAAGCCAATTCATCACCGTCTCGTGCTGTCACGGACATGAAAGAGAAGACGCTGCACCATCTTGCGTACGAGATGAAAATTGGCTACCCGCCGCCGGAAGATGAAAACCGGCCAATTTCAGGCTTTGGCATTAAAAAAGGTAGAATTCTCTTCAATTCGTCTACATTCAACTCTTTTCCGGACGAGTTTCACACCGAAGAGAGAGGTATGAGTGAGACTGAACAATTAAAACTCGCAGCTCTCATAAGCCGGCTGCATGACGGCTATAAGAAAAAGAAGACCAGCAGTGTGTGCAGCCTCCTGTAAACTAAGTTCCGGAATATAAAGAAACGAATCTATTTTTTTTTGTAATTTCTACTATGTGGCGTCAGGTGTTCTTATGCTTTTATTAACTTTCATGCCAGTGCGTTTGTACGGTCAAAACTTATTGTGCTGAGATATATATAGTCGTCCATCTAAGAATTTGTAGTAGATAGATTCAATACGCTAGTTATACTTTATAGAGTCGTCGTTCCTTAGAGTTTATTCGATACAAGTATATTTTACGTGATGCTTCCTAAATTCCTAATACTGGCTCCAAAGTAATCCAGTCAATGCAAAATATTGCTTTTATTTGCATTTATTAGATGATGAGGTCGCTCATATTCAGAGTCAAAATAATCTTTAAAAATCGTAATCGATTACGCAAGAAGAATTGCAAAAATTGGGTGATATTTTATATGTGCTTTCCTCGTTAATCTTTCCACGACACAAGGCCAATCGTTTCTATCTCTTAGTCTTCTGTGCCCCGAAATATATTAAGTTAATGTACACAAATTTTCGTGTCGGCACATAAATATTTATCTTTCTATGTTTCACAGACTATTCTTTTAATGACTATCCATAACTTTCTACTTGGCGTCGAATATAACAGCGGCAAAAATCATACATTTACTTCATCGTATATTTATTCATGACTGATTCATTTAATAGAGAAAACTACACCAACAAAATGAAGTCCCTAATAATTGAAGACTCGGATGGAGACTTGATGTTGAAGAGCACAAGTGGAGCAGAACGACGTCTGCGCAAGGATTTATACGACCAACTTTCCAGCATCTCAGATCCTTACGACCCTTTGAAGAATTTCATTGGTTTCGTGGATCCAATTCATGGAGTGGTTGGCCGTCCTCTGCCAGACGACGACACTCGCCCCATTTCGGGATTTGGTGTTAAGCAGGGCAAGCTTTTGTTCAACTCTAACACTTTTAACGCCTATAATGATGAATATCACTCGGAAGACAGAACGATGGGTGAATACGAGAGAGAAAAGCTATCTGCGCTGTTGCAACAACTGAACAAGACAAGAAACTCTGCTGCACCGAGTAAAGCTTGCATAATTTTTTAAGATTACAAGGAGCATTTATTGTACACACAATAAATTCTTGTAAAATTGAACTACTTTGGTTTATTATCTGGGTGAAGATAAGAAATGAAAGTACTATATTCAAGATTATAATAGACATCAATCTTACTATAGGATTTCTTCTTTCCTGTTTCAGATCAAGGTTTCCTGTTTTTGAGGTTTCATTTCAGTCACACGAGGCATTGAAATTTTATTTAAAGATTGTTACAATATAGACGATTAATTAAAGAAATTTTTGCTATTATCTAATATTGAACTTCTTCATTTCATCTTGTGAAAGATGGGACAAGCTCTGGTAGTGAGTGATAAAGATAACAACCTTTTCCTAGAAGGCCGTGAGGGAAAGAAGCGATCACTCCCATCTGACTTATACGACAACCTCTCCCCGCTGTCTCATCCGTACGATTCTAAGAAGGATTTCATAGGATACGTCGATCCTATAGCCGGTGTTGTCATTGTCGACTCGTCAACTCTCATGGATAAGTTTAATGCGTTGAGAAAACAAAGTATTGCAAAGTCTAGAGGACATCCGATTATAGACGGCAAACCTGTTCCTCTAAATAGGCTCATGCCACATGACTCGGTCGAAGAGCTGACAGAGGGTGAAAACTTGTCTCCGAACGACATGAGTGATGCAGTTCAATGTGGCATGAATGACATAACAATGCACCAACTGGCTTACGAGCTCATCAACGGCGTCCCACTTCCCGATGACGATTCTCGGCCCATTTCAGGATTCGGCATAAAGCAAGGGGAGCTCCTATTCAACTCGTCAACTTTCAACGCCTTTCAAGACGAGTTTCATTCGGAAGAGAGAAACATGGGCGAGTTTGAGAAAGGGAAACTGCAGGCATTGGTGTTGAAACTCAACGAGAAAGAGAAGTTGGAAAAAAATCGTCCAAGTCCAGCGCCAAGCCAGTGTTGGTAGTGCAACAGGATATAGTAAGGAAAACAAGTGCAATCGTTTAATAATCATGTAATGAGTTATAACTAATAAATCACGTCAGTTATTTTGGAAATTTTGAATGATACTATATTTTAATGTATATCATTTTTGGGGAAATGACCAAGAATCTCTGAAGGAAAGACAAAAAATTTCATTTAATCCTTCATTTATTTCAAATTTCCCACGAAGCTGTTGAATAAATTTCAAACTATTAATTACGAACAACTTAATTAATGAGTCTTTCATATGGTATGATCACAAAATATGTAATAAAAAACTTGATTATGTGTCGCTAAGAACATTGTGAGGAAGATAATAAACAATAATGATGAGTGTATTCGAGAATAGTGTTCTAAAGAGTAGAATATCTTTTTAATTAATTGATTTCAAAAAATCTATTGTCTAGTTATTAACTAAAATTCTAGGAATATTTGGTTAATGTAAATATACGATTAATGGCTCATGAAATCGAACGTTTTGTATTGGAGTTGCCGTTCTGTGGATTGGAGATAATATTATTATATGTCTTTCATTTCAATAATTTTTTTCAGACTGTCGGTTGGTACATCTCAAATATTGCAATTATTTGTGTTAAATTTTGTGCTAAGAATATAATTGGAAGCTACATGAAAATAATTAAGATTTAATTGAAACAAAATGCACGTGAATGGTAATTTCTTGATGTTAGCTTGAAAATGATTCCCATCAGTGAGCTTCCCCAGCCTTCTAGGGCAGCAAAAGTACAGGAGCGAGATGATGAGCTTTTCCTTGAAGGCAATGATGGACACGAACTGATTTTACCTCATGACCTGTACGATAAATTGGGCAACGTATCTGATCCTTATGATCCAAATAAAGATTTCATTGGATTTGTTGATCCTCTCTTTGGAGTTGTTTTAGTTGACACGGAAAAGCTTCAAGAACATATCACCAACAAGACTCACAATGCGCAAGGAAACACGGTAGAAGAAAATGGACTGAAATCGTGCTCTAATTCACTTACAGATGAAAACGAACATCGAAACCGAGAAGAACCAATTTCTGCAACTAATAGGACTGCGGAAGGCACGCGGTCTCCCAAGGAAGCCATTTCATCGCCGTCTCGTGCTGGCACGGACAAGAAAGAGAAGACGCTGCACCATCTTGCGTACGAGATGAAAATTGGCTACCCTCCGCCAGAAGATGAAAACCGGCCAATTTCAGGCTTTGGCATTAAAAAAGGTAGAATTCTCTTCAATTCTTCTACATTCAACTCTTTCTCTGACGAGTTCCACACCGAAGAGAGAGGTATGAGTGAGACAGAACAAGTTAAACTCACAGCGCTCATAAGCCGGCTGCATGAAAGCTACCAGAAGAAGACCAGCAGCGTGTGCAGCCTCCTGTGAAAAATGTTATGCAACTTATATATTCGAATATTGCTTTATTCTCATTTTATATTAAGTGTTTTAAGAGATATTCGTAAGGGCCCATCTACTGCGTTCTTGAACAAGAACATGCCTCAAGAAATAAATTGAAACTACTTCAGAAATTTGTGTGATTAAGTTTGTACGAGCTCCAATATACTATATCGTTCTTGGAGCTGTCTTGAATTCTGCACCCTAAGAGTGTCTTTCATTTAGACCTTCGTACCTGATTTATTATCTATAAACTGCAGTAGATCGTGTATTTAAACTGATAAAATTACTGGAATAAAAATGCACTTGGGATTGTCCTGAATTTCCTGAATTTTTTTCGGAGATGGCTTTTGAATAGAAATCTCTGCATGCATTAAATAACATCCATATTCTTTATTAGGCCAAATAATATTTGGCCAATCAGACCCCAAAATTCTAGCACAAGTAAATTTTAAATCAAAAGATGAAGAGTCACAAGAAACAGAACTCTAAATTTAACTTATAGCTGAATGCTTACTAGCTTTGTGATTTTCGCGACATGACTCTCTATTTGCGGAAAAAACAAGCATTGGAATAAGATGCAAATACCGTCGAAGAAAAATCCATGCATTATGAATTTTAATGTTCATATTTGGTTTTCGGGAAACATATGTACAATTTAGTAATATGGGTTATTGTGGGTATGAAAAGAGAGAAAATGACTGATAAAAATCGAATGGAAAAATTAATTTGCGGGAAGACGACAGAAAGTTGAAATTGGAGAGCAATCGCGGAAAGGAAAGGTCTCTGTCTCTCAACCTCTGTCTATGATGAACTCTCATGCATCTCAGATCCTTCCGATCCAATGAAGGAATTTATAGGATACATCGAACAGGTGCAGGTAATGGTGCTGGTTGACGCTGCGTCCCTAAAAGACGAACTCTTACAACTGAACCAACGCAAGCTTGAAGACGTGGAGGAGCGGGAAGCTCCTTCGTCAGATCCTGAAAATAAACTGAACGGGTCGATCTTTCAGAGAAGGCCACTACGCTTTACAACGAAATCTAAAGATGTTGAAAACGTTGGATCACAGAGCTCATCGATCACATCAACACCACATGTGAAAGACGTACGTTACGATGCATCAACTCGCCTATGAAAAGAGCACAGGGCGTCTGCTGCCCGATGATGACACGAGGCCTATCTCAGGATTCAGAAATCAGTTTGGAAAACTCGTTTTCAATTCGTCCACGTTCAATGCATTCAATGATGAGTTCCACTCGGAAGAGCGGACAATGGGAGAGCTGGAGAAAATTAAACTCGCAGCCCTCGTGGATAAGTTGAATGAGGGAATTGCTGGTGAAAAGGTTTAGCAGCAACGCTCACATCATCAGCTTAATAATTTTAGTGCATATTGTATTAAATTGCTCAAACGCCTTTAATTTAATTAAGAAATTTATAGGGATATTCAAAATTACTAATTTGCATTGTTTAAGTGGGATTGTTAGAATACACAGCAAATATTACAACACACAAGATTGGCGCCCACATACAATAACAATTATATACCATTTACTTGACATAGATAAAAGCTACGCAGAACAGAAAGCGTTCATATGCGGTCGATCCCTGCCTGTATCAAAGATTCTTGCCTTCAATGCTTCAAGTGCGTTAAAAACTGGAAGCTTTGGTGGGGGCACGAAACAACAAGAAAAGTTAAAATCCACGTGACTCGCATATTAGATAAGAATAACTAGCTCCGCCACAAGCTATTTGGGAAACTAATGGGCAAATCATTGACATCTTTCAGTTTACGGGTTGTTAAAATTCAAGTCTAGATATTATATTACATTAAAAAATTTTTCCTGCTTCATCTCACAGATTATTCAGCTTTCTTCCTTACTTCCTCAATCAATGCAAACCAAGTTACATATTATTGCAGTGCAAATTTGTATCAATGAATTAAATATTTAATTATACTCAAAATCTTCTTTTTGACGATTCAATTACTGGAACAAAATACTTCTGAGTCCACATGCTTGAAATGCAGGCCTTAATGGTTGAAGACTTGGGCGGAGACTTGATGATGAAGAGCACAAGTGGAGCAGAACGACGTCTGCGCAAGGATTTATACGACCAACTTTCCGGCATCTCAGATCCTTACGACCCTTTGAAGAACTTCATTGGTTTCGTGGATCCAATTCATGGAGTGGTTTTGGTGGAAGTGTCGTCATTGGAGAGAAATTATGGACTTCCACCAGAAATACAAACCGAGATTCGTCGCACCGACGGTGACTCGGAAACGGAACACACAATTCGAGTTGAGATCAAAAATCCAGTGAATGAGGAACTGGGAAACTTGACCAACGAAAACATACAAGTTACAATGGCAGAAAGTCCATCATCTAGAATCGGACGAAAGGAAAACAACAGCGAGTGCAGTGAGATGAACGCTTTTTCTTCCACCCGTGATTGCGATGTGAAGACCAAACATCATCTTGCCTATGAGATGAAAATAGGCCGTCCTCTGCCAGACGACGACACTCGCCCCATTTCGGGATTTGGTGTTAAGCAGGGCAAGCTTTTGTTCAACTCTAACACTTTTAACGCCTATAATGATGAATATCACTCGGAAGACAGAACGATGGGTGAATACGAGAGAGAAAAGCTATCTGCTCTGTTGCAACAACTGAACAAGACAAGAAACTCAGCTACATCAAGTAAAACTTGCAACATTGTTTAGCCGAGCTGCAAGTTGAGTGAGATTAATATTTTTTTCGAGTATTCTTGCGTTCCCGACAAAGGATAATAAGACAATGAGACGCAAAAAAAAACCAAACGGGTCAGCTTGCGTTTGGCAAATGCCAGAGCCAGTTGATCTAGGCTAAAAATAGCAAGCTATCCATATGCAACAGCTAAATGTTTAATTTTAACACTGGCAATGTTAAAAATTATGCATTATTTAAAGTAGATAGCTTGATTATTAATTATTATTATTAATTTCCTTATATGTTGTCTTGATGACTTGTAAGTAACATAATTAGTGCCGAGAAGATATCAGGTTTATGAAACACGAGTGTGTTGAATAAGGTGCAAATATTCATTAATATAATCTCTCTCGAAATTGTTCATAAACGAAAATTTTGTCACACATATATACAAAATCCGTTACCAATGAGAATACATGAACGACAATACTAATAACTTAGAACTGTTGTCTGAAAATTTTTTGTAAAAATTTTACTACGCTTTTAATTAACACTTGAAAGAATAAAATTGATTTCGCAGTATTAGCGCTCGAAATTCCTGTTGGATGATTGAGGAATGTGGCACTCAGTCACTTTGCGGACTGGTGGTCATTATATACTACGATTTCTAATGCCATGCATTGTAAAAAATTGTTATTTTCCAGGCAGGTGGTTTGTGCTTTCTGAATGTTAGGAAAATTAATTAAACAAATACTATGTACACATAACAAACCATATAGAAGCTGCAGCTGCGTATCTTGTATACGCCTGGTAAGGGTAAGGTCAAGATCAATTGCTCTAATGCAATTAAGTCAAGATAATTTGAAGTCAATGAAAAATGAGAACAAGAATTAAGCTTGAAAATGAGTACTTCTGGGAAGAGTACCCGACCAATAGCCTGCATAAGAGAACTAGAGGCAGAACTTTTCCTTGAAGGTAAAGAATTGCAAGTGCAAATTTTACCTCACGACCTGTACGATAAACTGGGGCACGTATCTGATCCTTATGATCCAAACAAAGACTTCATTGATTCGTTGATCCTCTTTTTGGAGTGATTTTAGTGGACGCTGAAAGGCTTCAGGAACATCTCACCAACAAGACACACAATGCACAAGGATACAAACCAAAGAAGTTGAATTAATTTCTTGTTCTCATTCACCTACAGGATGAAACGTACACCAACCCAATTTCTGGTACAATTCAACTTACAGGTTTGGATACGGGAGACTCGCGGTCTCCCAACAAAGCCAGTACCTCGCGGTCCTCGCCGTCTCGTGCAGCCGCGGCGGACAAGAGAAGACGCTGCACCATCTTGCGTACGAGATGAAAATTGGCTACCCTCCGCCAGAAGATGAAAACCGACCAATTTCTGGCTTTGGAGTTAAAAACGGTAGAATTCTCTCTAATTCTTCTACATTCAACTCTTTCTCTGACGAGTTCCACACCGAAGAGAGAGGTATGAGCGAGACTGAACAAGTTAAGCTCACAGCTCTCATAAGCCGGCTGCATGAAAGCTACCAGAAGAAGACCAGCAGCGTGTGCAGCCTCCTGTGAAAAATGTTACCAAACAGACAGAATACTTTTATTTTATTTTATTGGATTCGTATTCTGCCATGAATTGCAATAACAATTTGTAGACATTTTCAACGATTAATAGAGCTTTTTCGATTAGTTTTTTCACATCATTCATTTTCAATTAATTATGTAACCCATTGAGCTAATTCGTAACAAGCGCTGTCATAAATTCACTACACTGCAACTGAAAGGCAATGCTGAACTTCATATGAGATTTTCATGAACACTCAATTTTAGTCCATCAGCCTTCGCATTCTCATCTAGCCACATTATTTGCAACAAATTTGCCTACTCTTCGAGGAAGAGAATAAATAACGTTCAGTAATATTCACTGAATTTCAACGAAGAATGATCATTCCTGTTAATAAATAATAAATAAATTAGTAAATGCAGTGAACAATAAATGCAGTGAACCAATTGAATAGATTTCAATAAAATCGCATTGTACTTGTTCTTTACGCTTGTTCCTTTGTTGACAATCGATACTTCACACACCAGTGTGATCAACTATTGAGATTTTAGGCCTACTTCCCATCATTAATGATATTTTGGAGCCATTTCTTGCTTTTAATAAGGGAATAGGTGCGCAGATACACATATGTAGTCTCTTCACAGAAGTTGATATGAAAATAAATTTCGATTTTGTAAAATTTTAATTTTCTGACAACCTGACATTTTTTAAAGTTATATTGCAATTGCAATTCCGGAAAGTCATTTCTCTTGAAAAATGAATATGATGGTTCAATTAATACATTTTTTAAGTGTATTGATAAAAACTACATGTTTCATTACTCCTCAATGAAAATACAGATGCTAATTGGATTGTGGATAATTCCATGCATCATGTGGTAATATATATTTTAAGACTAATTAAGCTAGCGAGCAATAACTGATTTTTAACGTGAATTTTTTAATTAAATGATTGGAGACACACTGGGGGACTTGTGACATAATTTCTTTCGATCATAATATTCGACGCTGTCTAAAAAATGGGGCGTGAGTGTTATAATTTCATTAGGTATACGTAATGTGATTTTTTTCACAATATATCTTTCTCACGATATTTATTGAATCGCAATGTTTTCATCGCTGTCTGAAGTTCCGGGTTTGGCACGCAGTTCATTTTCCGGGTATTGTACATGAATCATTGCGATCAATCGAAGGCTTCTCGGAATGACGGTACTTTTTACTCAACGTTTGTTCAACAACATCGACACTTCCGTCTTCGATCAACTTGCTCACTACTGATGACCTCCCTAAATTCACTTAATCCATTTATAAACTTGATAAATTGGTTATTTATTCTAGAGATAAATAATAAATGACTTCATGGGCTCTTGAGTAGCCAATTCTCACGTAAACTCTGGACCCGAAATTGACTGAATCTCATTGCAAAAAATTACTCATTGTTATCCATGGATACACCATAGCTGTTCAAAGATGATAAGCCGATATGATGGTTATTAAATTAGGTTGTTCGTGAGCATGTTTTGTTTGGGTCCGGTCGCCATGACAGGGAATTCATGTCTGAACACACAGCAGTGGTCATGTACACGAGGTTCATATACATTGGTCGTGTACGTGGCTTCGATCATGTACATGAGGATCACGCACAGTACATTGGTTCCCCTCATGTACACGAGGTTCACGTACAGTACATTGGTTCACCTCATCATTTAAATACCTGTTATTTATACACACTGTTATTTGATTTTATCAAAATGTACATTTTTCTGACCTAATTCTACTTTATTTTGTAATTATTCTCCTTCCCCCCCCCAATTTGCTGGCTTATCTCATAATGGATTTTATAGGTCCAGAAAAATTTACTGCGCAGGCAGAGGCTCGCGTGAGTGTTCAGTTGGCTGTTTTCATTTATGCTTGGACAAGAGGTACAAAATTCTTATGTATGGATACACTAAGTAAGTCATTAATTTGGCTATAATCGTCAAATCCATCACCAAAGGCTCCTCGTCGTATTTAATCATTGCGAGATTGCAATCCACCATCCTGATTAACGAAGTTATAATTATTTTATACGCTAACCTATACATATATTTTATATAGATTTATTCTGTGAGCGCGAGAATAAATTCTGTACTTGATCGTAAGATAGTTCCTAAAAAAACAAGACTATCACTCTATACCTTTAACATGTAAAGCGCGAAATTATGATAAATAGATTCGTGCATTGATTATTTCGCAACAAACTTGACAGTTTGAAGGTCTTGTGTGTTGCTAAATCAATCGCTGAGCATGTCTGCTCTGTGCCATGGTTTACTGATATGTGGAATTTGCCATCCAGTACAAAAAAAATGTTTGCCGCCTTAGAAAAAATAAAAACGTGCAGAAAGCGTCACAGAATTAATGCCTATCTGAGGCCACGTTATAAACGCTTATAAATTTAGCTAGCAACTTCGTTTTTTGTATAAAATATAAAGTTGAGAAAAAATTAAATCATTCCGCCGTCTTGCATTCAATCTATACAGCAGCACAAAAATCTCGGGTCATTTGGCAATGATATTAATAGAACCGAACGCCTCTGAACGTTGGAGACTTGCTTGTCGATACCAGCGTTGCACTCAGTGTCAGTGGGGTTCACATATGAGTTGTTGCACATAATATTCCTATATTACACACTCGCAAAAAAAGTAAAGTTGCATAAAGCGAATTATTCTATAAAAAAAAACTGGAGAATGCAATAATTAAGATTATTTTATTGAAAATACTTGAGGAGTTTCAAAAAGGATGATATTAAATAAGCTGTTTTGTTCATACCACAAACCTCGCAACTGCACAGCAATGAGGATGTGAAGAATTGATAATTTTGTATCGTATAAACACATTGCTGATTTACAAATATCATGTAATGCATGGAAGCTCAACAAGTCTCTTTGAAAACCTAATTATAAAAAAACGCGTGTTTACAGCAAGAAGACTGATCGCAGGAAAATCCGTTGATTGAATTCGAATGAGTAAATAACTTATGAATCATCATGAGCCGAATTATATAGATATTGAACATATGATAAAATGGTTTTACTGTGCTTTCATGCCAGTTAATACAACTTTTTCCGCATATTTTATTTTTTATGTCAATATGTACGACAAAGTAGAGCTGTAGCGAAAGAAAAAATAATGGTTTAATTTTTTCCCAAACATTCCTAAAATTTGCTAGAACTTTAAGCATAGGTAGTACTTTGATCGTTGAAGGCTGACCTCCCACAGGAGAAATTATTCTTTTACGAGCTGGTGAGTCGTTGCAGCTTGGGAGCTCGTCTGGAGAAGCTGTTGCTACATCATATTGATCATCGGCTGCAGCATCGACCACGTAATCAGCGCAAACGATAAAAAATATATATAAACAAATAGCAAAGTTCGCGTGATTATAAGATGAATAAGAAAAAATAATAAAATAACAAATAGTTGCCGCTATATTTCAAATAATTTTATACGATTTGTAATTTTCTTGTTAGTTTCTCTTAACTTCGCAAGGATATATTCCAACTCGTGACTGCTGCATTAATTTATTATATTCATTTTAGTTCCATTCACCCAAACTTTCCCCACCTATACACTTATATTCCCGTATCATCCTGCGTATCATCATCCTGATAATTTTCAAGCAATTTATTTATTATATATGCGTTAGGATATATAATGAAAGACACATTTCGTTATTGATTGGAGTATAAATGAGCAACACTACCACAACAAACATGTATTAACCGTTTACAATGCTCGCCTATTGTCAACCTGTACACGCGTCATAAATTCTTTTCTGTACATCATGAAAACATTTTACAATCTATAAATATTAAGTTTGTGTAACGATGCTAGTCACATTTCACTAGCACGCGCGATGTTTGAATGTGATGTGTGTAATCACACATTTTATTTGATCGTGTGATGAAACACAACCGACAACACAGCCTATGCGGTAACGGCTCCAGACGTACAACACTACATCATCAGGGTATTGGTCAGTTACTGAGGTAAATGTGATGACAAAATACGATATACATGAAGTCTGTATCGTGTGGGATTCAAAACCTGGAGAAATTAAAGTACTTCAAGTCGCTTTTGGTCCAAGAACCAAAAAAGTTCTATTTCCTTCAGTCAATCATATTAGGCCAAGAAAAGGCTGAATGCGCAAAAATTAGTTAATTGTATTATGTCTCAGAATTTTGTTTTATTCAAACTATGGGATCAGATTTTTTTCGTATTAACAGCGCCTGGATTATAACCATATATTTACAATTTAAGATAGAAAATAAGGAAGACATTATTTGTGTTATTACACAGGTATTTTCTCGGTGTCTTTGAAAGGCTTAGGAGGACAGAAGATCTGCTCTACAAGCACCACCAGCGCCGCGGCCAGCATGCAGGTCCCCATGAAGTAGTACACCGCGGCGAACGTTCCTGTGTAGTCCACCAACGCTCCTGTTGTGCAAAAAACGTTACACATTATAATATTAACATTAATATTAAACGTTAAGATTAAGAATGTTGAATTATTGGTAAAATCGAATACCTACTTTATGTTAGAAAATAGATTTAAAATCTTACTAAACATAATAGTATTATTAACATTAATCATAAACGTTAAGATTATTAATGTTGAATTATTGGTAAAATCTAATGCTTACTTTATGTTAGAAAATAGTTTTAAGATCTTACTAAAGTTCATGACGCCGAGGCCTAAGAGGTCAGTAAAACGCAAAATACCAGAAGCGATGATTTTGAAAAAGGAAAAGGAATTGTTCGTTATAGAAATTTTGTTCAGTATCAGTAAAGGCGCAGTATAGACCGCATATATGCTCATGTCTGATGAATACGGTATTGAATGGGAAATAAAACAGTTATATCGACTAAATAACATATCATTTTGCCTAATAAATTAAAAGCGAAAATTAAATTGAAATTTAAACACCAGAGTGCCGCTGCAGTTACGAAAGACTTCAGCATTGTCGACCTTGCTGATGATGGCAAATAAGAATAACTTTGTAGAAATAAGCATCTTGGTGCAATATTATGTGCATGAGTGGCGGAGCAGAGAAATGAACATGAGTAGCGGAGGGTGGAGCAGAGAAATGAACATGAGTGGTGGAGCAGAGAAATGAACATGAAAGGCGGAGAAGAGAAGTGCACATGAGTGGAGGCTGAGAAATGAACATGAGTGGCGGAGAAGAGAAGTGCACATGAGTGGAGGCTGAGAAATGCACGCACAAGGCCTCCCTAACCAAGCACCGCGCAGCGACCATCTCAAAAGCTCTATTTTTAACTGCTCTAGTTACGCGAGAATTCCTTGCCCAGATGCAGGTCAGACTGGTATATGCTTCATTTCCTTCCATAGACGTAGGTTACAATAATGTTCATGTGATACAAGTGGTAACACCATTTCTCCATGTACACCATTAATCCAGATTTCAGGAGATGATCTAAATGGATGGTGAAGGTACTGTACCACGCAGTGGTGCTCACTATCACTTAAATTCCAACGGCTTAACGCGAAATTTTGCTGTGCTACTACATCGTCGATTTGGTAACACGAATTTGTGGACAATAATTAATCATTTTTCGGGGGATGACGCGCGCGACAAGGTTTCTAATCGCTTGATTTAGGCACTCGATGATTGTAAATTTAGAAGAAAATATTTTTCTACTACAAATGCTTCAAAACAGAATATAAACACAGAATTTATTGAAAATAGAATATAAACCATTGCAGGGACTGATGAATTTACTTAACCATGCTGGACATTTTATTTTCTTAGCTGTATAATTAAATTTATAATTAAAAAATTATTAATACGTCAAAGAAATTTTCAGTGGGACGAGAATAATTGATGTTAAAATATCCATGGAAGCTCATTAAGAAGCAGCAATTTATTGCTTGGTAAATTAGTTACAAGATTGTAATGAGAATTTTAGATGCACGAAGTTCCTACAATAGAAGAGAGAAGTTTCAATACAAGATAACTGAATGCGGCATCACGCACTCAACAACTTCATGGACATTATTCCTTCATGCCCATGTTCCTACATGCTCATGTACCTACATGAAATGAATTGTAATTATAAGCTACAATGTCGACTTAAATTTTTTTATGTACGCCAGATAGATGTGAATGTAGCGCTAGATAAACAAGTTAGGAAAATTAATTAGAAACCAAATATTTTCAGCAAATTATATCCTAGAAATTTTTTAATATTTGAAAACTTTTTACTGTTATGTGGTCCGAATTGGTAGGAAAATAATTGGAAAGTGGCTAAAAAATTACAAGAAAAAAATCAATATAAATTTAATTTTTGCTTCAAGCAAGAATTAAATTAACATAAGTACAATACATATATTTTGTACTTCTTGACAACTCGTTTCGTAAATTTAATGCATCAACAGGGTGTTGACCCGCTGGCCTATGTTTGTGATCGTGAGCGTTGATAAAGTTCAGCTACTGAGGCGGCAAGATTTCAGGTTTTCAGGATTCGGACGCAGAGAGTACGCAGATATGACTCCATTGAAGTAAGATCACTAAATGGGGATAAAAGCGCACAAGTGCTTATAGCATCTTAAATGTAGGCGTAGCGAAAAAATGTCATACGAAGCACCTCTGTCATAACAGTTTTAACGCTCTCAACCGGAACGTAATGTAGTAATGAGTTCGCAGTCGAGATTGAAAATAAATATGAAAATAAATAATCGATATAAACGTTAGGTACTTTATTGAAATAAATGATCTTTCATTACTTTAAAGTTTAAAATATTTTTGAGTTTCCATACTGTAGTTAGTAATTGAGCCATATTCGAGCACGTATCACGTAGGAATATTACTTGAACCGCAAACTTACATCTAATTAATAACTTATACAATAGTGTTTTTTACATAAGAAACAACAATCTTGTACAATTTCTGAAACGTAGCTTTAGTGATCCTTTTAAGTAAAATAATTATTTATTTTAACATTTTATTTGCTTGTGAACGTATAATCGTGACAGCATGAAATTGATTTGAATAAAGGTTTTTCAAAACTGTGCATGTAATCATTCCCTCGACCTCCCTCTTCCAAAAATATAATAAAAAATCTATACTAAGAATGGTTCCACAGATTACCATTACACAATCAACACTTGCAAGAAAAAAAACGAGATGATAAAGATCTAAATTAAAGAACAGAGTTCCAATCTGCAAAAATTACGTCGCTCATATCGCGTTTTTCTCATCAAATTTAACTAAAAGAAAGACACACTTCAAAGTAATTGATAAATGTGAATAATTGGCTCAGTATATGCGGGGCAGAGAGTGTGGGGAGCAGAGTGTATTTGCAGTACACATTAAATAAGCTTGACTGATGGCCTTAGAACGGTTCTTGTCCAGTACGTAGGTCAGGTACTTCGTTGCATTTGCATTTGCATCGCAACGAATTTATAAAGGTAGGTAAATTGAAAATCATTGCCGTGTAGTGATATAAGATTAGATCAATATAGAATTATTGTATTCTCACGGTAAAGTATGCGCATGATTACGACACATATTATGAAAATAAAATCAGTCAATCTTCATGAAGTTTTGAACTTATCTGAATCCCGGAAAAATTAGTGAACTGTATGCAAATTACGGCCGAAGTGCAACCGAGCCTCGTTAACGCTGAGATCTTAATAAAAGATCGAACATTCGAACAGAGTACAGCCTTACAACACGTGTCTTTGCTCCGCATAGTGACAAGAACTTGCCAACCGACGCACCAAAAATTTTGCGGATGTAAAGCACAATTTCCTACGTATCGACTCAAGCCATTAGTTTATTTATTTCAGTCACAGCCGTCTGGTGATACGCAGTCTGAATACATATATACAATATATAGTACGAAAATACAGTATCTCTGAATATCCTGAGATGCTGTATTTTGCGTCATCACAGGCTGGACACATAATTCCTATCACTGACCCTGAACGACAAAATATCAAGCGTGATGCCGCGGTTTAAGTGTAAGTGTATGCAGGGCCGCGTTGTGCACATTAACGTGACGTGCATCACCATCATCAATGTCGAGCCTACTAGTTTACGGCTCAAATGGTGACGCAAGCGTGGGGAAAATCAATATTATGCGCGTTATTCTTAAATACTTGGTATGCTCAGATGAACTTTCAATAATTTCATCACAGATTACTGAAACATAAACTCTCGACCCCCCCCCCCCCAATACTGCATGGATATACACGCTTCAAGTCTCTAAAATAGGCCAATATAGGTACCTATGTAGATAATACAAATGATTTTAATTTTGAAGGCGCGATGTTGGATGGTGAACAGAATGTCGCTCAGGGCGTCATGTGTTTATAATTTGATTCAGTCTGTTAATAACAATCAATGTTATTAATTGTGTTATTTTCACGTGATTTCATTCTGCACTTTAATCACGTTGCTCATTGCATGACGGAGGAGAAGGAAGAGGGAAGGAATAAAACGAAAACAAGAACATGGAAGCTGCCAGCTTAAAAATATACCCAGAAAATGCCTTCGACACATGTAAGTACCTTCATTAACATTGAAGTATATACTGATTCAATCGGAATTTTTTTAATACGATCATGCTTCCACCCTGAAATTTTATGTGCATGGTATATTTAATAGCTCATAAAGCCTGCTTAATGCATAGCCATCATACCTGCTACATCAATTTTTGCGGATAAAACCTCGGCCAGAATTGAAAAACTGTAATTGAGTGCTTTAAAGCAACTTGTGTTTTTTCTTGCCAACAAATTCATGTTAATTTTATTTCATGGTGGCAATTGTAGAGGTAATAACCTCAGCAAAACTAAGATCAGCTGCTTTGCTTGATTGCAGTCTTTAAGCCAGATACTAAGAACCATTCAGATACGAGTAAGAAATTGTTTATTCAAATAGGTACAACAATTTATCATGTTCCACGATAATTGAACTTTTTCCATGATGAAGCAACATTGAAATGATCCATTGCAATAAAGACTCACCGCTTACTTGAGGCGACACGAAGTTTATGAAGCCCATGGCGAACCTGACGAAGCTGTAGGACGAGTTGAGTTTGACGATGCCATGCATCTGCGCGAGCACCGTGGGTATGATGACGAAGTATGCGCCGATGCCGACGCCATAGAAGCAGAGCATCACGGCCATCGCCGTGAACGTCTGGCTGAACGAGATGGCCAGCACGGCCGAGCCTCCCAGTGCGCAGCTGTGGCCACGGAAAGCCAGAAAGTTTATGTTTTCTTGTTTAGGTAATTTGTATTGATGAAAAGTTTTCACAAGTTAATTAGAAAAAAGAAGTTTAGTAAGAAAGAATATGACACGGTCATGACAAACCAGCGTATCGGAATCGCTTAATAACTTAAAAGAATACTTTGATCGAGTTTTCGGCCACCTCATAAGGTAGATGTACGCGGTTGGAATGAGCTGCATGTCGGCCACGAAACCAATAGTGAGTCTGCCGACGAGGTCCACGATGGACGACACGGAGAGCATCGTCGTCACGCTGCTGGGGTCCACGCCCACCGACTTGGCGTACGCGTGAAGGTAGAAGAGCGCGTGCGGCGCCCCTACGGCGCACAGCACCACAGACGTCGTGAAGAGGATCATCTTGCGGGTCTTGAGCACTTCCTTATCAAAACAGGCTCCAAGGACCTTGAACATCGGTAAACAAGACTTCGAGGTTTCTTCGGATTTCTCTTCTTTTGTTTCCTTTGTCACCTCATTGGGAGCTGGGCTTGCTTCTGGCTTAGAATCTTCCAAGAATGGGTTCGGGCTGTCGTCGTTGATTTCATCTTCGTCAGTTTCCGGAATCGCTGGTTCATTGAGTATGGAGCAAATTGAGGAATTTAATTCATTTTCAAGCGAAGCCTGAAAATGCCCAGGCGGCAGTCGGCTCACCGCCTGCTTTGTGAGGACCATTCGGCCGAGCGAACTGTGTACTTTCCGGATAGAAGTCGGTCTGGCGGGATCGTTCAAGCGCCCTCCAGAGCTCGACTTGAAAATTTCCCCGGGAGCGGAAGACTCGCTGACGGTGTGATGGCGTTTTGCGACTATTAATTGGGTAGGAGGTACGACATTAATGTCTCGGTCCATGGAAACGTGAACTTTCTTAGCGTATTCCGCGAGGTCAGGCACGCTGGCAACCATGGACATGCTGCGCAGGAATGATACATGATGAGTCATTTCTTTGCATTCGCCTGCTAGAAGTTTAGAGCTTCTGACTTTCATCATCAGCGAGCTGGAGCCTTTCCGACGCAAGCTTTGATTGGATGGAGTTAAAGTAAGCTCACCAGCCGAGTCTTCACCGTTCTGCAAAAGACTTTTCTGGCTCTCGTCCCCGCTTGCCTGCGCCCTAGCTAGCCTCGCTCTTTCCATAGCTTGTATTCTTGCTTGTTCTCTCACTGGTCTGTAGAGGAGAGAAGCCACTGATATGTGGAGCTGCAGCGCTGAAATGATAAGAAACGTACCACGGAGTCTGTACTCCCACAGCAGATAGTCGATGAGAGGAGGCATGAAGAACGACCCGATAGAGTTGCCCGAGATGCAGATGGCGGACGCCAAAGCTCTTCTTTTCTTGAAGTATAATGACACGATGAGGATGCCGGGCGTCTGGCAGAGACCTGCACCCAGACCTGCAATAAAAGTATCGCGTGATAGAGACGTAATAAATATTAATATCTATGAGATAATTAAAGCCAATTTTTATTATATCAGACGCACAGTTTATCTTGAATAATTCGTTCAAACATTCCTATGAAATGTAAATGTTTTAAATCATGTGAAAAATACCATAATTAGTTAAATGTTGAGATTTAATTCCGCATAGTTTTCACGTTTCCGTATTGAAGTAAATAGTTTGAATATTGCTATCAATACTCTGGCGGGATTTATTTTTGACCTAAATATACGCTGAAAGTATTTCTGTTACGCCGACGAAGACGTTTGTAAATAGTGAAGGAACATATCATGGTTGAACTATATAATATAAGGTTGACCCACGAGAAGTTCCGTCTATCAGTTCAGCTTTCTTGTTACGTCACGTAGATCGAGAAACGTAAACAAACCCGTCATTCCCATGACGGATTGGTTGACTGGTTTGATCGCATTTCGGTGATTGGTTAATGCCCGTGACGTAACTGAGATCAGTGACGTCACAGGCGAACAACGAACTACATCCGCAAAAATGGGCTTCTGATGGGTCAACCTTATACTAGTTCAACCATCAGTTCAACCTTATACTAGTTCAACCATCAGTTATACTAGTTCAACCATCATCCGTCTTTCAGTTCAGCTTTCTTGTTACGTCACTGAGATCGAAAAACGTAAACAATCCCATCATTCACACGACGGAATGGTTGACTGGTTTGATTGCATTTCGGTGATTGGTCAATGCCCATGACGTCACTGAGATCAGTGACGTCACAGACGAACAACAAGCTCCATCCGCAAAAATGAGCATCTCATGGATCAACCTTATACTAGTTCAACCATGGAAGATATGACCACGCACGTTTCACGTTTCTCGATTATTGAAGTAAGAAAATTGCAAAGACGGCATCACATTCTTTTGACTCCACGTGCTCCGCTAACACACCAAGGCTCCGAAAATTGGATGAATAATTTTACAACTAAAAATGTACTTATTACCTACAGCACAAGTACATGGCAGATGTAACTATGATAAGTCCTTTCGTCGAGCTAAAATGGGTTAGGATATGCACCGCCATTTGGACGATGAGCCAATAATTTGTCTGTGTGTAGAAGAGCTTACCAGTGAGCACCCCAATGGTGAAGATGAGTTGAGTGAGGGAGGTGGTGAAAGCGGAGAAGAAGAGGCCAGAAGACACCAACAACCCGCCACAGAAGGACACTTTTCGTGACGTATATTTCCTGCTGAGCACACCCGCGATTGGAGCTGTGACACACCCGAAAAGTATTGACTTTGATTAGTGACGTAAAAAAACTTTTGTTGCGAAGAGACGTACCGAAAAATTATATACGAATATTAGTGAGTAAATAAAAAATTTGCTTAAGAAAGTTATCATTAGTGAAGTAATGAGAACTGAGGTTCTTGAATCTTGATCATTTTTGAGGTAATGCATGGAAAAAAGATGTAATTTTCAAGTTGCTGATAATTTGGAGAGTTTATTATGTAGTTGGGTAAATTTTCTGAGTAGAAAATTTGTACCAAAAATACAATAACTGTCATCGAAAATCAGCGCAGTGAAACTTTATTTCTATTCGTATATTTCCGCCTCTGTAATTGAAGATCCATGAATAGATTAGTTATAAATGAGCAATGCTTAAAAAACAGCTTTAACAAATTTGTTTCGAGGAGTAACTCTTTACATAATACATATTTTATTATTGCAGGAACCGCGCCTCCTCTTATATGAAATTGCACTTAATATTATTATCACCTAATACGGAAATTCTTTAATTAGACCGTGACAAGTGCCCTAAATTGAACAAATAATAACAAACATAATCACAATGATAAGCATGTGCAGCGTGCATGCACGAGTATGTGCATATGAATTTATTACCAACTATCATGAATCACTGACCTATAAAAACCGAAGATAAGATGGATAATCAATCTAGGGAAATAGCTTATCAATTTCCATTGATCCCGAGGGTTCAGCGGTCAAGAGTTGAGCGATTGCACTTTGTACATCTTGTTTACAACCAGCATGCGCAGAGAGGGAGAACTGATTGCTATGTTGACAAGCAGGCTTATCAGCGTCCACGTGACCGCTGCATGGTTTGTTTGATAACGAATGACGTAAGCGATAAACTCGCCTGAAGAATCTTGAATGTTATTTTCAATTTACAAAGTAGCTTTTAAAACAAAAAATCAATTATGAAATTTGTTTAAATCGTCATTTTTGAAGAGCAAAATTTGTAATTTTATCGTTTAAATTTTATGTATCGAAGCGTAAACTCAAATCAAGTGGTAATTAATAAAGACGATCACAAAACAACCATTTAATACTTGTTCATTAATGGTAAATTCTTAAATAATCGAGTAACAGTTGCTTGCAGCCCTGATCGGAAAAAATGCACGAGAAAATGATCGGAACGTTTGAGAAGGTAAAAGAAAGGAGAAAAGATTGCTCATTCGTGCAGCGAGTAAGCAAATTTTTTCCTAGACAATTTCTACTCCTTATAGACAATGGAGATTTCTCTAAACACACACAAGTAGTTTATTGTGAGGAACGAAATTTACAAAACTAAAAATTTAAATGTAATATTTCACTTAAATTTGTCCCGAATTACCTCCAAATATATTTCTTTAGCAGTGAAATTGTAAAAAAATGCTTCAACTTTACTCGACTCCACGATATATATTGCATGTAAAGCGCTGCGAAATATTCGGAAATTGCAATAGGTTCTTAGGGACCAAAAAAGAAAATGGAGCCAAGTGTTGGCAGCACGTCCTATAAATGAATTCTTATAGAATAACCTTTTCTTGTCAAATCAGAACACTCGTCAAACAAAAGTATGTCAAAGCATTGCATGGCTGTGCGAGCTCTGCCAAGTCCGATGTTCAATTTATCATACGTTATAATTAAGACAGCATCACTTGTGAAGAATTCTTTGGCAAATATAAACAATGTAAGCCAAAAAACATACTTTCCATTCAAATAAATAAAACGACAAATTTTCTCTCAAACTACGTAAATTCTCATGAACCTTAGTTATTTAGAAGCCAGTTACGGATAAATGGGCTACCCTCAACAAGTTCGCCTTCCATCAAGTCACTGCGATATTATCCTCTAACGAGGGCTGCCATACAAGAGCGATTTGCGACCGAACTCCTCATTATAAGAGGGTCCACAGAGACCGACGCCGGCAGCAGGTCAGTGGGACCAACCTAGAGGTCGATAGTATTGCACTAGTATTATACTATTAATATTATATATACTATTATACTAAGGTGCCCAGGTAACAAATTATTATAGAAAATAATAATAATTTCAAGAGTGTCCGGGGTGAAGTATAAATCTCATAACGAAATCGATGGTCGAAATATTGTTAACTTAAGATGTGTGACAATTAAAGTTTATCTTATTGTCAAAATGTCGTGAATTTTAACCACGTAAACCGAGTATCATGAAGGAGTGAATCAGCTGGCAATGCATCGAATACTCAGCAGAAAGCGACTTAGAAAAACTAAGAACCTTCCAGCCATGATTGAAGAATGTTCAAAATAACCCAAGTTAATGTTCAAAACTTGAGAATTTATTCAACGTTTTAACTGAATCTCTCCCCAAATGTTTTTCCCAAATGAAATAAATAATAAAGCTGCTGTCCTGGTAAAGGAATGCTTCAAATCACATGCGAAAACTATGTGTACTCTAATAGAAATGATGTACTCGATGTATTATTAACTTTTAGAAGCCAGTTACGGCGAAATAGGCTACCCTCAATACGTTCCCCTTCCCTCAAGTCACGGCAAACCACAACTGATTATCTCAAGCCCGAGATTCACTAAGTCAACCAACAAATGCTGGGATAATCAATTTCATTTCATGAGTAATGAGGCAAACTACAATTAAAATTTATTCGATAAATTTAACTGACGTTTAACTTATTCAAACGTTTTAACTTATGCATGGACTTAGTATGACAGTTAAAGAGTAACAAAAACAAGTGCGAATTCTAGTGCAGAGTGCAAAACATTTCTCACCTACAAGCAAGCCGATGGTAGAGAGTAGTGCTGGGATCCACGAAGCGTGGTAGGCCGATGCGTCCGGGAAGGCAGCTTTGAGTTCGACGTAAATTAAACTGTAGCTTTTGATGAAGCCCACGATCCACATGTTGACAACACACGCCGCCATCACGATCACCCAGCCGAAGCCGCCGTCCGGAGGTACAAATTCAAGCATATGATCTGGTTCAGGAGACTTTTGGTTTGCATCCTTTTGCTTTTGCGAGACGCTTTTCAAAAATAGTGACTGGATAAAACTTGGTCTTCGCTCTCTGCTCTTATCAGGCAAGCTGTGGAACGATCCGCCAAAGTTGTCAGAGTTCGGAGACTTTGGACTACAAGTTCGTTCCTCACCAATGTAGAAGGCGCCACCATTGTCGGGGCTCAGGTTCAGAGATAGTTCCTCAGACGTTGCTTTTTGGCCCGATGATAAAGGAGTTTCAGCGGAAATCAACACGTGGGGGATTGCACCTACAGACGATGACTGTACTGGAGAATCTCCCAATTCATTGATGTTGGGAAGACTATCGCTGCGTTTTTCAGTTTCTGTGAGCTCGAAAGAGTGGGCCCGTTCAACAGAGCTCTCAGCTGATGGATTAGGCAAAGCCTCTTCGCTTTTCGCGGCAGTCGAATCTTCGTAGAGAGTGACTTGCTTGTCGACGATTTCGATAAGAGCGTCTCCCTTGCCGGAGACTTCAGCAGGAGTGACTTCCATGTCAGAGACTTCGTCAGGAGTGACTTCCTTTGCAGCGACTTCATCATGAGTGACTTCCTTGTCAGAGACTTCGTAAGGAGAGACTTCCGTGGCAGCGACTCCATCATGAGTGACTTCCTCGTCAACGACTCCCTCAAGAATGACATCCTTGTCAGAGACTTCGTCAGGACAGATTTCCTTGTCAGTAGATGATTCCTGACTTGGCAAAAACGGCACGGAGACTGACGGATCCTGATCTGATATGTCCCTGACAACCTCAGGTGAAGAGCTGATTAGCTTAGAGTATTCCGTTTCATTTTCATCCATTTCAACCAGTTAGTTGGTTCACTTTCTAATTAAGTCATAAATCAATGTAGCACAAGCTACGTTGAATAGTCATTCAGATGTGAAATTCAACAAATCCTACTTGTTCGACTAAAAAAAATACTTCCACAAGCATTGAAATTAAACTTCTGTGGAATTTCAATGGAGGGTCGAAAAGTGTTAATATAAATTGATAGGAGTGGAGGCACTAGTCATTCTAACGTAAACCGCAAATCTTGAGACTGGGTAGGCAACGCGGCGCGCAACCACCGCATTCTATCCAACCGCGGCTGCAGCCAGCAACATACTGCACTACTGAGCGGTGACGGCGAGGCTGATTCTGCTCTGCAAGAGTCCGTATTTCTCTCTCGCACAGCTTTGGCGTAAATTGGTCAGGGAACTAAACTAAAACACGAGATACTGAGGTGGACGATAAAAGAGAAAAATACGTCGACTGCTTACACGCGGTCCACAATATTCAAGACCACATGCATGTAATCATGCATGTAATCATTGCGCGGCTTACAAAAACTAAAGCTACAGTTGTCATCGCCCCTGGATACGGGCTACCGGAGACAGACAAATTACATGCTTGTCTCATCTTAACTTCATATGACGCGAGGCAGGATTTATTCTGAGAAATAAGTGGTCGATTTTGATTTCTTGGAAGGAATTATTCAATGCGGTTCTGCAATAAATTTGTTCAGCCTTTAACAGTTTTATTTCACTTTGAATGTCACTAGAGTGCTTTCATTTCAATATTATGTTTATTTCTGATATAACGGCAAAAATGAATTCAATCGGTGTGAACAAAGTATCATAATAGTTTCAATAGGAAATTTACTCATACCAAGAAATTCACGTACCTAATAGTGCTGGGTATGAATGAATTTCAGATTGATACCCCTTAATACAAAATATTACTTTTAATTAAAAAAAATAGTTACCAACCTGTAGCAAAGGAAAACACTGATTTTGCGAACACTGTGAAAGACTTGAAGACTAAACTTTAATCTCTCGAGACTGAGTCACTGCGCTGCTTGAATGATCATTTCACCGCTGACTTAAGTGTTGCGTCAGAATTTCCGCAGCGCTATCGCTCCCAACTCTCTTTTTCGTTCTTTGAATAAATGTTTATTTCTTTGAATCTCAATTTATACCACGTACGAATAGCGGTCGACTGCAATTTAAGAACACTCGCACAATTTATAGCTGGTGTCAAAGTAAGCAATATTTGTGGTATCACGTTCCGTAAGCGTGCGTTCTATCGATCTGCATGCACGACGAGACTCGCTTCAGCCGGAGTCTGGTGGCTGACGTTACGTGGTGGTGGTGAGGGCGCGCAACGTTGATGGTGAATGTAGATCAGAGAGGAAAATTATTCTCACGTGTAGCAATGACTGACGATATGCATGAAAACGTTACCCTCTTAAAATTTATTTAATAAGCATATAAAATAGAAATTGCTACAACTCTTTGGGCAACTCATTGAGTTGAACTCGTGGTTTGACCTCTCAATGATACACTGGACAAGAATTTCTAGGTTACATTGTAGCAACTATAGAAGATAAAACATAACAAGAAGAATTGCTTACTTTCAAGCACATTTCTACAGCAATATTATTGCCCGCTAATGTATAAACATCACTGATAAATTTCACCAGTGCACTCGTGGCTACTGCACAATCAATGAAGCGTGTCTGTGCAGGACTGGAACAGTTTCGAACGCGCAGGTCTCGACCTCCTGTTGGCTGCGGCCCAAAAACATTTCCTAGACCACATAAATCCCTCATTTATCGCCCGGGTTACGTTCCAGATGCGGCCGGTAACTTTATTGTCTTATATGATCTTTAAAGATCTTTAATCCTAATATGTAATGAGTCAAGTAATAAGTTGTTCATTGTTTGTATTTTCATACAATTTTGGATACATTTTTCCGACAAACCTGCCTATCGACATCCTTTAGGAACCCGCGATGAAGTGAAGCCGGGGTAGGTGAAGCGCAACATATAGCGAGGTATTAATTACTGTTTATGTTTTTCACACTGTGTTAGCAGTTCAGTTTTTTAGGACAGAAAATTTATTGTTTACATGCAACAATGAGATAAGACTTGGAATCGAGTATTTGTTTGAATCAACTTCAACATGAAATTTTATTTTCATCCAAAATCTCAATTTAGTATTACAGAAATCCAAAATACGTTGAGTTGAGAATTCAACCCTTATAAATGAATTCCACATTTTCTTAAATTCGTGAAATCATGGATTAGAATAGCCATAATTATGAATTTTCAACAAATAATAACTAAAAAAGTCAGAGCTGATGATGGAAAAATTTATCTTCGGCCTACTTTGCATTTGTTAGAATGACTATTTTTACTTCAAACACGCAGGAAAAAAGTGATAACAATTAATTCTAGGAACGGAAAGGTGAAAGATTTCTTCACATAAAGTTTCGTCAAGATTTGTACTTCTAAAACTGCGAAACTTAAGAAAGTAAAAATACTGCAATTCGAACTAATTGAAGCTATAAGAGATATTGAAATTTCTTCTCGATCCTGATGACGGAATATATTTATTACGCTTAAATTTTCCGATAAAACTTGTGTACCGGTACTCAATTATTATTTTTAATATCGAATAGCAGTGTTTAACTAAATACTAATAAAGCATACCTTTAATTAATTAAAAATAATAAATGGATCTGTTAGTGTTGGCCTATAGATATATGATATGTAGATACAAGTCGGAAGCAAGAAATTTGAAGCAGTTACTGATCTACTGTGGAATAGTGCAAAGTAAATAATACTTTAAGAAAACACTTTGTCTTCTCATTGTGACTAACGTTACAATGCTCGTAGAAACAAATAGTATTGATGATGGTTGGCCAATGGCATATCAGTATAGAAAATACTTCAAACGCCTTGCAAATTTGTTTCTTTCGCTACGTGCATTGTTTCTAAGTTGGACAGCTACGTATAATCGTGTCATGCTTGTTAGCACGAATGAGTAGCCAGAGTTAACGAAATTTAGCTGTCACAAACACTGATGATCTGATTCCTGTCTTGTGTCATTCATTTAACAGTTAGCCTGCCATCAACATATATAACTTTTTATATTTATTTTTCTTTCTTTCAATTCACTTTGTAAATTACTGCGGTATCATGAAATAATGAAACAAACTATTTTCATTCGAATGTCTGATGACGATAATCAATAATAAATTGACACACGGCATATCGGTAGGAGAAAGCAAAAAATTTCCTATTTAGGTCGAGATTGCACGATCCTAACAATAGTCGCGATGAATGTGAATTCTGAAGCTCCTATCAAAGACTTAGATTCTTTGAAGGCGGTAGAGTAGATACGGGCACCCAGTGTTGGTCGGCATAATGTCAGCCGGCAGCAAACTTCAACTTTAATTTCTTCTGCTCATGTCGGCGTTGCCGGGCATGAGCAGGGGTCCAGCCCCCTAAAACGCCTGCGTTGTTGGCCTTGTCAGACAAGATTATTTAATTATAGTCATAGTTGAAATTAAAAACAATTTTAGGACTGATTACAGAAATAAATTTTGAAATAATTAGCTAACTTCCCTCAATCTCGAACATCTCTTGTCTTTGGCATTTTTGTTCCACTCCCAAAACGAGTGCAAACTCAGAATATCAGCCACTAGGAGTTTATAACGTCATCATTATATATTAAAATATATATTATTATCGTTCATATTGTTAAATAGACTCGTGACGTTGCGGCTGTGAGCAGCGAGTGGAGCCTGTGGAGGCAGAGAGCGCCAGTAGAGCAGCGGCCAGCGAGCAGGCACCCATCACGCGGTAGCTGCACAAGAAGCTTCCCGTTGCATCTGTCAGGGCGCCTGCAAACACGTGGACGTCGAGAATATGGTCGAAGTATTATGGTCTTAAATAAGGAAGTAGAGATAGCTTTGTGAATACGGGAGTCGTGTTAGCTGCATGAATGCGGAAATGTTCGGAATTCAATCCGCTATAAAAGCGCTAGCGCCGTAATTAAGGTAAACGTGTTAGCATCCAAAATGCGAAAAATGCGTTAGTGGCGAACATTACTAAAGTGTTAAATGTGGTGAAAATGCGAGTGTCGTACACTCAGGAGAAGTGTTATAAAAGGGACGTGAACACAAGAAAACTGTTGGCGCCTGAATGCGAAGTGAGTTTACGTTTCGTGAATAACAGCGTTGAGTGGATATGAGAGAAGTATACCATACTTGAGAGACAACGTGTGGAGTTTAGTAGTAAGGAAGCTGTTCGCATTTTAACGTGTGAACCGACCATACACGTTCAGACTGTTGTATTTACCGTTAATACGGGTTGTACAAGAGAATTAAGTGGAACCGTTCACGGGATTAAAAAAGTAAATGAAGAATACATTAGGAAACGTGACGCAATGTTAATGCGAGCAACGTTTGCACAACCTTGACATGATTTAAAATGAACAAAATTTATAGTGAATTTATGAAATCTTTTGAGAATAAACAGTTTCTTTTGATCCGAGACTAAATGAACATATGTGAACACGAATCAAAATAGATTTGTTTTGATACGATGAAAAATGGCTAAGATTTGGTGAAAAATTTGTTGTGATTTTTATATCCAATTCAAATGTTAAAACATTAGAACGAGATTGTCTTACCTATTAAAAAATTTAAGATAATGAACTGAAGTTAGTGTGTACTAATGAATTCTGAAAACAATAAGCAGTGACTGCAATAAATATCTTCATGCATCTTACAATTCTTTGCAAAATTCGACGAATTCTTGAAAATTATTCTATGCACTCTAAATTGGGGTCATCTACTCAATTTTTTAAATCCAAATATATGAAAAAATAATCGTCCAATAAGAAGAAGAATTGAAACTTTTGTGACCATTTTATCGACGTGGTTAGAAATTATGGCTTTCAAAAGATCATATTTCAGGATCAATATAAGCGACTGACAAGGAATAGTTTATAAATTGAAATGTAATTGAAAGATAAAAATTATTGACAATTTTTTGTATTGACAAAGACATTATTGTATTGGTATTTCTATTTTCGAAGAAACTTCGCCGCAACTGAAGACATTTCAGAGAATTCGTTGTGCTCAAAAAACAATTGTTATCGTTATTACTACAAATGTTAAATATGAAGTCAATATAAACCTCCAAAACAATTCTGGTTATTTAGTTTTTTTTTAAATTGAGGATATTTAATTTGTTTCAACACTGCCCTTTTTTCATCTTTATAGCTATAAGTCGTCATTAGCGCTCACATTGGTATACTCTGCAGCACATATACGACCATTATCTTGAGCCTACATTTAATTCATTCAATACCATCAATTGTGCAAAGTCAGGTAACAACTCAATGCAATAAACATGATCGATCTTGCACCTGTCCCAGTACGAACCACTGATCTGCGGCGACACGAAATTAGCGACACCCATGAAGATCCTCAGGAATCCGTATGCTGCAGGCAGCCTGTCGCTGCCGTGGGCCTGTGTTAGCATGACAGGCATGAGCACCGACCACGCGACCACCCCTAAGCCGTAGCCGCTCAGCACTGCCGACAAACTCACGGCCGAAGTTGCCACTGGCACGCACAGGATGCAAGCGCCCGTCACGAAACAGCTGTTGGAATAGTTACGTCATGTGCACCGAAAAACACCTAATTTAATAAAACTATTATGATGAAAGTAAAAACAATAAAACTCAATCTAGATGTGTAAATTATGTAGCTTTTAATTATGTAAAAATGTAAGCACAAAAATGACCGGTTGAATGCATGCATGTTCATCTAGAGCTTTTTTTAGATTTTGAACGAGGTTATACATAGTTATGCGTCTCTATGAGAAAGGCGATTGTTGAGTTGCATATTATAGAAAAAATAGGTTAAGAGATCATTAGCAGATTAAAACATTTATCTTAGAAAATTCAATGTCTATTAGCTGATTAAAAGTCTGCCTTCGAAAATATAAGGTCTATGATAAACCTTCGATCAAATATAATTTGTACTCGCTTACTTCAATGAAATATTAATAAAATCACTTGATGAATAGAAGCGCTGTTATAATGCTATGCGTAAAGAACGGTAGATAATAACGAACCTGAAGCTATAAAGGTAGACGGCAGGCACGAGTTTGGTGCGAGTCAGCCAGCTAACTCCCAGGCGACCCACGACGTCCGCAAGTGACGACCCCGCGATGATGGCAGAGACGGTGCCGACGTCGACATCAACACTAATGAAGTATACGTGGAGGTAAAAAAGAGGGTGTGGAACGCTCATCTTGAAGAGAAAGCAAGACAAAGTCATGAGGAACATTTGCCTGGTCTTCGGTACTTCGTAATCGAAACATGTATCGAGATTCTTGTGAAATATGAATCCGTTCAGTTTCGCTGTTGTAGGCGGGGTTGTACCTTGTAAGAATGGATTTTTAAATTCTGTTGCTGTAGTAAGTTCTTGCGAGTAATAATGCAAGTTTTGTTGACTTTTAACAGAGGACACAGGCTCGTTTGTTACCGGGGAAGATAGAACCCCTACACCAATTTCTTTGGTTACGGGTTCAGAATCAACTCTACACGTGTCGCAAGCGTTCGTTCCATTGGTGGCGGTTACTGAATTTACAGATCTCAGTTCAATATTTTCTACTGATGATCGCCTCTCAGAATGAAGGTCTCCATCGAAGACGGCTTCCGCGCCAATATGCATCAAGTCATCACCGCCGACTGAAAGTCGCAATTCTGAGACAGAATGTACGGATGACTCACTGTCCGAACTTATGTCACTAAATTCTTCATTGTTATTGAGCAATTTTCTTGAATTTGAAACATTTGAAGCGTGTATTATTGTGCTAGATGTATTGATCATTTTTCGTTTGTCATATAATGCTGGATCTATCAAATTTTCGAATCCTGCTAGCGCTCCGGCTTCAGAGGCAAATGTTGCGCTTCCTCGCTGTGAAACTACATCTTTCATCTTTGATTTGCTCTTAGGGAGTTCTTTTGACGTAACTGGCTTTTTAATTTCTTGACGCCTTCTCTTAAGTTTAATTTTGTGTTTCCCTTGCACGATGGCATGGACGGAGACAGGTCGGAAACACACGCCTGCCACAACAATATTGAGCATAACAGCGGAGGTGATGAACAACGTTCCTCGTAGGCCGAATTGGTGCAAGAGGTAGTCCACCAGAGGCGGCATGATGAAGCCACCAAATGCATTACCGGAAATACATATTGCGGACGCCAGGGCTCGTCGTTTGTCGAAATATTTGTTTGTGGTCATTATGCTTGGAGTCGTTACAAAGCCTGAGCCCAAACCTGTAATTCGGAAATTCAAGCATTATTGACTATAGTTTATTAAAACGTTCGTTTACACTTTACACACTATCGGAGCTACAGGAAATTTGTTCACAAAACAAAAGTAAGAAATAGTACATTGATTCTAGGTTGGTTTTCAAGGAATTTAAAAGCAAAGAAAACGCCAAGAAAATTCACCATATCGATATTGAAAACGTTTCGGAGTCCAGCTCCATCATCAGTTCGACTAAACTAAAAATGAATAAAATCACTTTAAAAGTCAAAATTCAAAGACAGACATAAAACCTAAACAAGACCTAACATTATATCGAAATAAACAGGACTAGTTATGAACAACTTAGTCCTAGGGGTACGACAAGAATATAAAATCCTAGCGATTTACTATTTCCAGATTATATGAGCTAAACGCATTATTGAGACATGGTTTTCGTTTGAAGATATGTAGAGACTCCAAAATTCTCAAATCCGAGCAGCCAGAAGTGGAACCGAGTATCCTGAAATCACTCTCAGATACAGCCACGTCGCACTGTTCAGCATGGAGGCGCACGGAAGAATGAGGAGGCTTGGCGAGAGGCAAGTTAGAACGATAGCTCCTGCCACGGTGTTCAGAAACCCGGATGTAGAAGTTACGCGACGTCATTCCAACGTACGTAGATGCACAGCGTGCACAACAGAACTCATAGACCAGGTTTGATCGCATCCGAGCAGGAATAACGTCCTTATACCTGAAGAAAGAACCAATTTTGAAATTATTTACCAGTAAAACATGCAAATTTATATTTGGGAAATATTTCAAACACAGCATTTTTAATTCTTTAGACACAGTTTCAGACGCACTACCAAAATAGGGCAATGTGCAATAAATAATTTTCTTACTATCGCATTCAGTCACAGTTTGATAAAAGTCACCAGCTGGTCTATGCTATTGGCAATGAAAATCTTTAAGAATTTGTTTGTTTTATTTAACATGTTTAATGGAAAGTGTTGTCATCATTCGCATTCGAGTAAAAAGGAGGTTCACAATTTCAATATCACAAAAAACTGAATGGAATCATTAGCAAATCGCACTTTAAAGTTTACCACACAATACATAAAAACTGATTTCAACATCTCCGTTTAGACTATATAATTTTTCTTTAAACAAACAGACAACCTTTTTAGCTTCAGAATATTTCAATTGCGCATTTCGTTTCAATAGACCGGGTCTATTGAAACTTTCGTTTCAATAGACCAGGTGCATTGAGATCAAAAAAGTTATTAGTTATTTTCAAACTTGCCGTATTCTACATGTGGCTTACATTGTTTGATGATACATAATATATATCACGGTAAGTTCGATGGATCCTCATCTCACCAATGATGAGCTGCAGGGTTGTCAGCAAGGCAGGTATCCACGATGCATGGTAAGCAGAGGTGTAAGGGTATGCCTGCATGATGGCGACATACAAGACGCTGTAGCTCTTCAAGAAGCCCATGATGCAAGTGTTAACCAAGCATGCAGCAGCAGCCACCACCCAGCCATACCCGCCATCAGGAGCCGTGAACTGTTGGGTCAAGTTTATCAGTAAAAATTCGTCCTATTTTACAGGCAATGATATTTTCCTAACCATGAAAAGTCAATCTAAAAGTTGCCACTGTTAGCTACTCCCGGCTTTTTCACACATTAAAATATGTTAGCATCTATTTTAACGTAAGCGAGATACGGAAACATTTTCTGAGGTTCCATAATATTTAATTTCGTGTTAACAACAATAGCATATTTCAGTAGTTTACTTTTAACGAAGAACATTGATATACTGTCACAGTTTGAAGACGTTTAACATATTTCACTGTCGTCAGTATGTCCTATTTTCACGCAGCTGCTAATACAAAACCAAAATGAATCTCCATCACTCACTCACCACCACCAAGTTTGCTATTGCGGAACGCTCCTGCACGAACAATAAGAGAGTGAACATGTATAATGAACGTGTATGCATCTCTATGCCCTGATGCTCAGCAAAGCCGGGTCCTATTGCGTGTGGATAAATCTATAGTTTCATACTGAACTTCTGGTGAGATTAACATCAGGCTTACTTTGTATTCCTGAACAGGCTCTCCCGCCTGCCCGCCATTGCAAGGGGTCAACGCTGGGTCTTTGGTGGAGGACGCAATGTCTGATAGAATTGACGACGAGTCGTTGACGATTTGTAGTGAAATTTGTCGTGAACTAATTGTACCTCAGTGCTGCGGCCTCCTTAGATGAGATACCTCGGCCGGTGAAGCTTAAGAGGGACTGAAGTCTGTCTGAACCAATATGAAAGCCAAGTGGCTACGCTGAATTAATTTTATAACATAGTTAGCCTCACAGCAGACACATACATATTATTAAATTTTCTGTGATGGATGATGCGATGACACATAAATTATTTGTGAGAGAGGATTTATTTAGATGCAATTTTTAATGTCGAGGAACTTTATTGACTTTTTTTCAGTAAACCTCAATGTGTACTGAAAAGTGCATATGGAAACTCATGTTAGAATCTTAACGTTAAACGGAACTAAATGAGAACTAATATTAACTAATAACACTTCATGAAAACTCATTTTAGAATTTAACGATAATCCAGGAACTTTATTTGTTAAATAATATTATTTTATCAGGGTTTGAAAAGTAGCGGACCTAAAGCTTCCGTACGCTTTAAATTATTCTCAGAACGTACCTTATTTTCAATTTACGTGACCACGCACCTGAGCTGGCAATTAGCGGGCATGCAATAACATGTTCACCCAACAACTAACTTCAAGTAATTTTTCGTTGAAACTTGTATAGAAAAATGTTCGATAACCTGAAAACTACACAGTCCTGTAAAAAACTTGACACTCAGGCCCACAAAAATTTTTCTCTCTACATATATTTTTCATTTCATTTAAGTGTAGTATTATAGACATCTTAATTAATAAAAAGTAGGTACATTGTTAATCATGAAATGGAACGAAGTATAGCTAAGTTGCCCCGAAGTGTTACGCTTAATATCTCATATTGCACAATTCTACGTGCATGAGTCTAATAATGAATACGAAGCAAATCGCAAAGAAGATGTAAATTGGAAGAATTTGCTCGTCATTAATGCTCAATCTGTTTTCGAGAGTATTTTTTGCATTTATACGTAGATCTCACCAACATTTTAATTTTGTTACTTCTGTTTACACTTTTTTATCCATTTTTGGTTGAATTTACCTTTACTGGAAACCAACTGATTTTGAGAAACTGATTGTATATTGAGTGATGAATAATAGAGACGACTGCTACTCCTTAAATTCAAGCACCGAAAACATATGCATAAATAGCTTTCATCAGCGGAACATCAGACCCCGAGTCACAGCAGATTTCTTCACGTTCCTCTCCTGGAGGACGTTAGCTGCTAACTGGTAGTCCGGCACTAGACCGGCATGGCGTGCGGATGGAGACCACTTTAAGAAGCCTCTAGACGCAATAAACCAAAATATTGCACAATAATATTGAACTTCTGGGCGCAATGATATTGGGCGCCTTGCCGTCAATTTAGAAGTACTGTGCAAACCATATTACGCAATGACATTAAGCGTAATATGGTATGTAATATGGTATATCCGAGTATGAACGCTTTCAAGAACAGACTGGACAAGGCCATGCAGGAGCATATGTTTAGTCTTAAAATGCCTCGTGTCCTACGGAACAACTGAAATCCAGAAGCGATTTTAAATCTACCGTCCGTTGAAAAGATTTGATCAAAAGGCCAGTCTAGCCAATTAAGAAAAGTACAAGAATCGGCGACAAGCCTATCCAGGCCTATTCTTCAATGTCGAAGATACTATACTATACTAAGCGTCTCATGGCTGCCGTCAGTATACTGTGCAAACCATTTTACGCAATGATATTAAGCATCTCATGGCTTCCGTCAATACTGGCAAAACATAATGCGCGAAAATATTGAGCGTCTTTGAGCAGCTTTAACTGTGCTTCCAACAAATCCCGGCGGGAGCGCAGCCGTGCACCACCAATTTTGTGCACCAATAAGCCCTGAATCGAACTCGATCTCTCCAGACATCCACCAATCAGCCGTGAACCACTCGGCTTTGTCTTCCTCCGGCCTCGCATAGAACCTGCCGTGCACCACCAGGGGGCGGATCGAATCTGACTTCCGGGCATCGTTAAATTACGTAATTTTACGTTCACCGCATCTGTGGTTAGGTTTCAGATAGCATAGTTCTGTTCCAAAATTTATCGTCCTTCGACAAGTGGCCGTTCGACCGAGGGCTGGTTCGACCCACGGCCTAGATACGAACGGCCAGAAGTGTTGAAGGCTACGTTCCGGAAAGCAGGAATCATGATGGTGTATTACATCCAGGGCAGTGGTGGTCTTCGGCAGACGACCCATCCCGGCAAGCTGGAGATCAAGTTTATCAGATTTAGTTTCGAAGTTCAGATATATTGACCTCTTTTCATTTCATTTGTTGATTTAAATCCTATTGTAGATATAGATGATTGCTTTCAAGATTTTCCCCAACTACAAATTAAAGTAAGATAATGATAGTAATGTTTAAATTCTTTACAGTGTATGTAATAATAAATAAGTCGCTGATAACTTGCAATCTCATAGTGTACAAATTCCGGTATTTCCGCCATGTTAACAATTTCCGGAAAAAGAGATAAGGGGACACATTCATAAGGGATTATTTGGGTTCGATCCACCGTAGCTTCAATGTCATGTTGTCGTATCTCATCCATCATATTTCTGTACCTAACTGAGTAATCACGAGTAACATTTGTATGTGCATAATTCTGATTGACGCCTTTCCCTTACAATAAGAGACAAAGCTTTCATTTCTGTTTAGGGTTTTTGATTACTTTCACTCTAATATTAATCCTTCCTTCATTTACTTTTTCTTTGCAATTTTCAACTTTTGAATTCATTTGCAACGTAAAAAATGCGGAATTACAACATTCTTAAGGTACAATATTATTCACATTTTTTAAAAAAGCGTATGCAACACATTCGCGAGAAAAATGTTTGGATGATTACCACATTCGGTGATAGGATTTGAATTGCACATTCAATTACTTACGAACATCGAATTTACGAGTATGCTGAAAAATATACTATTGCCTCACACACAGAGCCTCAACCATTGTACATAAGAGCTGAACAGGGATAATGAATTATAATGAGAAATTGCCTTCCAGTGCACTTTAATCACTATTATATCAGATGTTGCATCATCTTTTTGAGTTAGACCCCTGAAGTGAAAATGCTACCCGATGGAATTATTCGCCCCAGCCGCAGTGAATGGGGTTCTCCCATATGGTCCCCAGAAAAATAATTCCTGGAGGCCAGTGGGTCATCAACAAGATAACTAAGCCTGATACATACACATTTCCCTTCCTCACAAATTTCACTGCCAAACTTAATGGTAAGAAAATTTCTTGGCTTGTTGATCTAAAATCTCCCTTCTTACACGTGCCAAGTCACCCAGATGAGATTTTGAAAACCAATTGTCACTCCATTAGGTACATACGATACGAGTTCCTCACAATGAACTTTGGCTTGTGCTCCGCTAGTCAGACATTTAAACGCTTTCTTGATGAAGCACTTCGTGATTTGCCAGTTCCCTTAAGCGGAGGAGGATCTCGTCCAATAACGCCCAGTATAACAATAACAGTTACCTACATCGACGGCATCTTGAAAGCATCAGATGACGATGAGCAGCATCTAGAAGACATGGGTGGATAGCTAGAGGTCAGCATAGCCCAACTCCACAGTGCGATTCATATACCTTCGCGTGCGTAACGCAGTCGGGCATCTTCACGCCTTTCGTCACAGAGCGCCCACCACAACAGCGCCGTTCAGTCACAGGCACTGTTTAACAGCGCCGGAGCACAACTGGCCGGAGCTCAACAGGCCCAACCGCAACAGGCTACTCCTAACCTAACCTAACCTAACCTGCGCCTGTTGCGGTAGGGCCTGTTGCGCTCCGGCCAGTTGTGCTCCGGCGCCGTGAAGCAGGCACAGCGCCGTGTTGCAGGCTCCTTGCAGGCTCCGGCTGTGTTGTGCAAAGCGGATTTACTGTTAGCCAGAGTTACCCATAGGCATAGCTCATTGATCTGAGGCTATGAGTAGATATTGCATGCTGATGGTTGGCGTTGGGCCCAACCCTGTTTGCGAGTCAATTTTGTTACCCACGGCTGCGCTCCCGAAGACATACGTGCCTTATTCACGCATTTGACTAACCACGGTCTAAAACTCAGCCCGCTGAAATGCGAACTCGGTCCGTCACAACTTGACTTCCTGGGCCACCGAATCACGATGGAAGGAATTGATCCCTTGCCTTGGAGGCAGTCCAGGATTTTCAACGACCAGAGAAAGCCAAAGGCCGTCGTCGTTTCTTGGACATGATAATTTGTACAGACACAGAAAGTCTGCTCGGTCGCTTTATAACAGTAATAGCAATGTCAGCGTCGATTTTTATTGTACCTGTAGCTGATTCTGAATATCGAAGGATCTTCGCAGCATTTTTCGGGCCTCAAACACGCAATTAATGCTACAATTTTGCTGTGCTTACCCGCCCGGCAACCTCGCCCCGATTTTGTCCAGAACTGTTGCAGGTATCTTGGAGCCCACACAAGCCCACAATTATAGAATAGAATAGAAAGTGTCGGCGTTGAAGAAATAGGCCCATGGCCTGTTGCCGATTCTTGAACTTTTCGTGACTTGATTCACAAGGGATCCGGCCTTTGAAACCCGATCTTTCCATAGCTGACGATTGATTGAGATAGCTGCTGGACTTAACATAACATAACATAGTGATGTCGGCTCTGAAGTGTAGGCCTGATGTGGCCTGTCGCCGATTCTTTTCCATTTCGTGCCTTGTTCATAGAATCTAAACTCGTGTCATTTGACCGGATCTTTTCATGACTGGCGATAGTTTGAAGAAGCTTTGCAGGATCTCCCGGCAATAAAGCCATGTTGACAGTCTGATAGGAGATTATTAGCAGTCAAATGATAATTGACTGATCCAATATTGATACTACGAACTATAACTACTGCACCCGTGTAGAATATTCGTAATATACTACTCAATCAGTTGCATTTAGTTCTAATTTTCCCAGTGGAAATTTAAAACACTAAGCAATATATAACAAACAAAATATTTTTATATAACAGCTAAATTATTTTAAACCAGTTCCTACTTCTTAGACAAATTTGCATTGACATCTTTTGACATGATGACTGCATAATTGAAAACGTCGCTAAATATAGCAACAGGGACGTCGAGCGTTTAAAATCGCAATCGAAAATTCGTTTCAAAATAGAGTTTATATCATCATTACGAATCATTTTTACCAATAAGCCCTCAGTCGCTCGTCAAAGAAATGTCGGAAGTCATGAGAATATCGACAATGATTTCTGAACATTTTTCTCTGAACATCATTTCCAAGCTTTTAAACATATCAATAGTAAAACATGTATTTCATTAGATAATTTTTGTCTTTCCTTTCTAACGGATCTCCTCGGAAATGTGTGGCTGCGTTCCGTTCGGCTACAAGTCGGGTCAGCTGTCAGTGTCACTTCATATTTTTCTTCAGTATTAATAATTCATTCGTATAATGGGAGCTCTATGGAAGTACAGTTACGATGATTACCCTGATGGTACTCACTGTTTGTATAAGACAGCTTGTGTCACCAAACAAACATCACTTCTAGGTAAGACCTTTTTAAATTTTATGGTATCGATGATACCGTTGATACGGTAATAATGAAATAGGTATTGAAATTTATTATATTATTTTTTATGGAAGTCTAAGTCAGTCTCAAAATCAACGACTCCAATATTTGAAGTCACAATCAAGGCTGGTAAATATAATTTATTCAAGTTTTTTACTGATTTATTGTTGCTTCAAATTCACATGATTTCAAAATTTACGTGGATAGAATCATAGAAGCTTCAAGCTTGGTAAGTTGGTTTAGCCTTGCCTATGTGGTAAGTGGGTAGAAGTTCTAACTTTCCCTATTTATTACTAAGACCTCATAGCTCCAGAATGAAACATTTTTAATAAATGTGAATCTTGCATCTTTATTGTGTACTTTTTATAACAATATTGGAGAGCAATCATGGTGCCAATCCATAGGTTATTCCACTATGCAGAGGGTGGATGCAGCATCGGCAATATATGGATTTTTAAGCCCAAAGCGTCGCCGGCCATTTTAAAGATGCGTCGCCGGCCGCCGGGTAATTTTTAATGAAAAGCCATTTACGCTGAGTAATGACAAACAGAACGAACTATTTACAAGCCACGAACTTATTACAAGGTTGCATGCACGTGTTACCCCAAATAACTAATTTTACCCTAAAAACAGTCCGGTTGTACAGCAAGTGTCAACTGAACAAGTAATAAAGCAGNAAGTGTTCCAGCAACATATTTTCCATTATTAATTATTTAAATATATTAACTTGTGGTGCAGTAAGATATCAAATTGTTTGAATTCTAAACAAACATGGCGCATACATCCAGATCCTAGCGCCAGCAGTGGCCATTCAAGGAACTACTTTATTACTTAGTATATTTACTATGATAATAATAATATATTATTCTGCTTAGGCACAGTCTCTCAAAATGTTGCAGCAACACATTTTCCATTGCTAATTATTCACATTTATTTATTTGTGGTGCAGCAAAAATGCGAAATATTGCATTGTTTGATGTCTTGTTGTGTGATGTGTTCTTTTGTTGTTGTGTGACGTCACTGCAGTTAAGGCAGTGATCCCAGTGAATATGAAAACAGTTTAGTATTGCGATCGATGTTATTTGTGAATAATATTTTTGATTGTGATATTATAACATATTTCTGATGGTGAAATAATTTTGATTGTGATATTGACACTTGCCAGTAGTACCTATCAACATTTGAACATCGAAGTTCTAACATAATTAATTACGAGATAAAAGGACTGAGCAGAGCTGAGATCATTCATGGCTGAAGCTTCTTAACTGATGTCATAATTGTCATTGTCATTTTTTACGTCATTGATATCATTCTGGAACCAACGTAAGTAACTAAGGAATTTCCCAGTTCAAATATTTATTGATATATTTATATAAATTTCAAAACTTTATGTATTTCTAAAGGGAGTTGTGATGAGACCATGGGAGTCGAACCGTTGAGTTTAGACCATTGCATTGATTGCAACTTGCAACAGGGGCCCAAGGGCCAAGGGCATGGGGCCTTGCGAAGGGTTAAGACCACGGACCGCCGCTCGGCGGTGGACCGACATAAGTACCTCTCTTCATAGACTTCCACTATGAGAGCAATATCAGACGATAATCAGACCATGTATGATGTATCTACTACTACTAGTAGTCTAGTACAGTAGTACTATCTAGCAGCTCTGAAAAAAGGCCAACAAATTTCAGTTGTTGGCTGTTTGGTTGGTAAAACATTCATTGCCTATTGAGAATTTCTGCATTAGGACAGAAATTCTAAAAAATTGCTGACTAAAACAGATCCTTTTATAAGCTATTCAGAAAAATTGCACAGAAAAATATATAATTTTTTTATATTATGAAATAAATTAGGCAAAGTGATTTGAAATGGTAAAATTTATTACAGGCAAGCAGGATTAGAATTTTCCTATTTGTTATCAAAAATTTTAAGCTCCAAAGTGACAAATTTTCATTAAATTTGAAATCTTATATGATCTTATGCAACTTTACTAATAATTAGATGGGACATAGGAGGTAATTTATTTAGCAGTAATCTTGTCAATCAAAAAATGGTATGAACATACCATTTTTTAGGTATGTCTAGTGTACTAGTCCTAATCTTCATACTATGAAGACTCTTTTGATGGTTTGAAAGGTAGATGTTTTCCATACAGAATCATGCTAGCAAGCAAGGCCGCAAGGGTGTTTTTGTCTCCTTCAACTTTTCAAGCAAGGGTGAAGGGACTAGACACTAGAGTACCTATCAAACTTTCCCAGTCACACCATTTATGGAGCCTCAATATTCCTGCTAGCAGCTAGATGAACAATCTTCTATCTAATAGCCTACAAAGATGCACAATCAATCCATAAGATTAAAAAATGATATAAAATAGTTTTCTGTTAAGCCTTGAGATTTCAGTAATAATAAGAATTTTCAATCTAGTGTAAATCAGATGTAAAAATTGATTTAGTTTTTCTCAATTGCATTGGCCGACTAAAATTTATGATAGGGGTACTTCCTAATTAAATTTTAAATACTGCAAAAAGAAAATAAATAGAATTTTTATAGTGGAACCTAAAAATAAACTAGTATATATTGAGTTATCAGCCTTTTTTGGCCTTTTTTGCTCTCGGATTTATCCGATTTTTGGCAACCCTTAATTATGTACCACTACGTCCTAGAGAAATACATTTCATGGTATGCATATGTAACACTTCATAGTCAATGTGTTAAATTATCTGTAAACTATTGAGTGTAGAAACCTGAGGACATTTGTATGCAACAGAAAACATTTTAAAGTGGTCGTACATTGTGGCAAGCATCAATGCAAGTCATTTTGGCCCACTAGAATGTACCATTTTTGGGAAGGAGGCTTGAGACAATATTGCTCTGGTTACTCATGGCAGACAGGAGAGGGTTATAGATGCATCAGAAAGTGTATGAATCCTATGCCATACCACTGACAGTCTGATTCTTGAGCACCAAAACTGGCAAATCAGGCAGGAATCACCTCTAAACAAGACAGGAATGCCTGTGCTTGCAGACATTGCCACCAGTTCCAATGACTCTTTCCTAGTTTCTTTCATAACAGTTTTAGATATATTTGACTGTTTATTTTTTCATATTAGACATTTCTCATGTTTTTGAGTCTAATTTATATAAAATATTAATTTATTTGTATTTTTCAAGCCACATTTCTCATGTTTTTAAGCTTAACTTATGAAAAATATTAATTTATATGTATTTTTTCAAGCCTTGGCCATGGGGACATTTGATGTCATTAACATCTCAAAACCAAGCAACATCGGTGGAGCACTTATAAGATACCCACGGTACATGGTGCCGGGTTTTTTCTCTGGTCTTGTGTTTGGTCTAACGACGTGCACCCTCACCCAAATGCGCCAAAAGGATGATCACTTCAACTACATTGTTGGTGCTGGATCAGCTGGCATTGTCATTGGAGCATGTAGTAAGTGGATTATTAATTAATTACTATTGATCTCTAATATGGTAATTTTTTTTTTGCTTTCTGGTAGTGATAAGTTCTACTGGAAATAATTTTCACAATTGAAGGCTCCTTCGCAAATGATTAATAAAAACCATTTTATTTTCTAAAACTCATTTTTTGCTAGATTGTTTAATGAGGGTTGATGTTCTTACTTTGCAATCATGAATGCAATAATCCACTGGAAGTATTCTGGACCATGATTTGTGCCTCTTAAGATGTTCTTGCCATAACCTAAATTTTGCTTATTATCTAGATTTGATTTTATGTGCACTCTTTTATTCTATCAAACACTATTTATGGAATGGAGCATTTACATGATCATATATCCAACATTAATGGACAAAATAGAAAAATAAATGATTGTTCAGATATTTTCTATGTTGTTTGTTAACTGAAACTTCAGCAACTGTGTGCTTTCCTGGCAATTTTTTTAATAATTAGGTTGTTATTTATCTGCATCATCTGTCATTGCTGATTATAAATCATGCAGATTGTTTAGGATTTTGTTACCTAAATATCTTGTCTACGTATGTCTGAAATTAATTGTATAGTCAAATTGAGTACTACGTATAATTAAGTGAATGCTGATTTTTGTTAAATTGGAACCTTTCGGCTCACAGGGCGGTCGCTAGCGGTCGGCATTCCATTGATGCTACTCTTTGGTTTGGGTGGCGCCATCTACAAGGAAGTACGTGTTAGAGGAACCGAGTTCTTCCCTCACTTGAAGCATGAATATGGCACCTTTGACACCTATAAGCGTGACTACACCCTTACCGCTGAACGACCAAAATACACCGGCATGGAGTGAACAACTTGGGCTCCAGTCTGCATATTTTATGTGCCCATCATACAGCGCATCATGTACTTGATGCATCGTACCTACTATATAGTAATTTACAGATGAACTAAAAGTCCTGTATAGCTTCAAATAGGCCTTCTAGGTATTTTTTTGAACCATTCTATTGAGTGCATTAAAAAATTATATATCTGCGATATGCAAGAGCCAAACTAATTTCAAGTAAATTTTTATAATTGTAATTTTTTCTCCCCTAATAACGTCTATTTGTTTTCAAGTTAAAATAACATTTTAAGTTTCTAAGCCGAAAGTGGTTCATAATTATTTTGGAGAACTTGTAAATATAAGTAGGCCAACATGTTAGTCTTTTCTTCTCATCTATCAGCACCCACCCAAGTATTGGCTCTTTACTCATTGGTTCTAATACGATAATCGTCATTTACACTGTTGGTCTGGTCCTGAAAGTTAGCATCGGTAGACTAATTGTTATGGAATGACTCGTTTAAAATTGAAAACTGCATTTAAAAATTTTGCTGGTTTCACCTATGAAATTTTATTGGTGCAAATCTTAGTATTTTGACAATTTAAAATAGAGCTATTTGTTAAACAAGGAGCAGCACTCGTAGTTTCAAAGTTCATGATGTAATTTTCACTTGCCTAGTTCCTCAAAAGAATTATCTTCACACAACATAAGTGCTCCAATGTATTGACATTGGAGCACTGCAATGCAATTTATTGACATTGGAGCTTATGATTTAAAAACGCCTCGCGTGGCGTGAAGAGATCACTACCCCAAAAACAACATACGGTGGCAGGAGTCTTCTTTGTGAATGTACGTATCCAGATGGAAGTAAATCTAGATTTTCCTTTAATTAAATGGGAATGAAACAAATAGTTCTTAAATTACTTCAAACATATATCATTGCTATTGAAACTTCAACATCATTATAAACCTATAAATCCAGCAACGAATTCTCCAGCTTCCGAAATTAATCATCGGCGGTGGGCGTGTCTGAGACAATAGGGGAGGTTAGCAGCACGACGACAGCTGAGATGAGGAGGCAGGAGCCCATCAAGTAGTATGACGGCACATAGCTTCCCGTGCTGTCTATCAGGGCGCCTGTGAAACAAAAAAGAAATATAACTCAGTACTCACTGCAGTGAGTGACAGAGAGCGCATTTTCTCGTCGTCGAAAACGTGAAGTCACGGACAGACATGGCGAGCACAATAGTGCATTTTTTTCCATAAATGAGAAAATGTGCTAAAAAGAGCCTAAGTAGATCATGAAAGTCGAGCTAATAGTAACTAGAATTTTAAAGAAATAAAAGCGATCTGATTTTAATAGTAAAGAAGAATTATCAGTTTTGTCAGTCCAAAAGACTGCTAGGTAGAATTATGTTAAAAGTGAGGTTATGACACGCCATTGTGTATCTAAAAATTTCGAAACCTAAATTGCGAAAAGTTAAGTTCATCTAAAAATATAAAAGTAATAAGTTCATATATAAATGACCGTCACAATCGTTGGTTATGTTTAATTAATACATGCGAGAAACTCGTTGATCTTGTACAATCAAATAGAGTCGCATAAATAAAAACGCTTGGCATTCAGGAATTCAAATAGGGTTGTTCGAGTCCTGAATAGGGATGGATATTCAGGAGTTCATATTCTTTGAGATAATAATGAAATCTATTCCAAAAAGATTATAAGGGTATATTTAGTTTCTAATGCACTGATTATTCATTACAACATTATTGAAAAGCACTTGGAGTATAAACATAGAATCTACCTGTATAAACATAGAGTATAAACATAGAATCTCAGTCCATGAATAATGTTGAAGCAAGCCTCATTTGCTCATGCCCTAAACGCTGAGAAGCAATGGCCTCCGCATAATCTTTGTCCAATGCGTAATCATGTTTCTTAAACATAGATTCTTGCAAACATCACGTTGTTCGTTGCGTAATCATGCCTGTGCAAGCATAGACTCTTTCATGTTGAACTAAGTAGGCGTTACGCCAAAACGCTCACGAGATCTGAACGTCATCAATGGCGGGGAGCCAAGGTATTCGAGTATACATTACTTGTGACCTAGGAAACTTCTGGGTCCTGGTCGTCGTTGATGGGGGACCTTGACCTGCGTCTGTAGTTTTTTTCACAGGAAATTTTGGTGGGATTCATCCCCAGGGAATTAGTTCAATTTCGCAAGAAATTCGATTGGAATTTGTCCAATTCCACAAGATGTTCTTGCCTGGCAACCAACTACTACTGTATTCTTAAAAATATTGCACGTTTTATCATCTCTTTATTCATTCTAGTGACTGAAGGAAATCTTTAGGATTTTTCTCTCAGAGTTAAAATTCTATTCAAGCGTCTAAATATATTCTTTGTGAAAAGAAGTTACTTTACCGTCTTTGACCGAGGAATAATTATTAACGGAAGCTTGTGCGCTTGGCATCGTTGCATCTAAATATAGACCAAAGCATTTTTTTCTCCGTCCGGCAATCATCCGATCGCCTTATCTGCATGAAAATGCCCTCCTTGGTTGTTATCAGAAAAATTTCTTTTCGCTACACGTTTTTCCTCTCTTAATAGCCATGTGAACTCGACCATATGCACTTCGGAGAATATTTACTGTATCTTACAACGGGCATCATGACAGGCAAAATAAACGTCGTGCAGAACACATTTTTGCCAAAACATGCACTCGTTATTCGCCCCCTGTCGGTAAAATATAATTTCACTTATGCGTTACCTATGTAGAAATTTATGACATATTCGAGAGCACGAATATTTTTTCCTGCTAAAATTATGGAACAAATCGTTAGTTAATCGTACGTCCACAGAAATGTCTTGAATTTATCCGGTATGATATTTCAACACATAATTATGATTTAAAAACTTTAAAACGTTATTTCTTGGCTAAAATCCGTATCTGAATCTTTAAAGCATGTGCACTATTTCTATAAAATAATTTGATTTGTCGCGATTAATCGTTACTCAATAACCATATTTTGAATCATTTGTCCAGTAGCGCAGAAAATATATCCTAAATTGGGCCTTTATTCGCCCCTGTACCTATAACTTATGTTGAATACGGTAGGAGAAAGTGGGTTACAGTGGCGACACGTTAATTATTTCATATTATAAGGTAATAATTAACAACAGTTAAGGTTAGTAATGGGACACGAGTCAGTGCATTGAGTGACGTGGCAGAGGGAGATATTGCACTCTTTAAAATATAAAACAATTCACGTGTCGCACTGTACTCACTTCTTTCTAATGCAGGGAAGAATGATGCAATGACCGGGCACTGCTTATCTGATATTACGTCCTTGATTGCGTTTCTATAATATAATACAGGATTTCGAAGATTTTCGTCGAATGATAAGAGGTTCTCACGAATGCATAACAAGGATTGGGCGTATCTTTTCAATTCTGAATCATTTTAGGTCGACATATGTGAGCAGTAGTTATTTAGGAAAAAATTATTTTGTAGGCTTACCCTGAACTCGATCAGGATTGATGTGTTCTGAAATTTGATATCTTAAATTGCAAATTTTATCGATATCTAAAATTCCCACAGAAAATTGCAAACGCAGTGGCTGGGCATTTCGGAATTTATGTTTTATCGCAAATAACGTTGCTTTAATCTCCGCTTGATGATAGAAGTTCCTGTCATATTTGATAATCCCGATCTTACTTATTTTTACACTGACTTTTTCTAACCCCTATGGGATAAGTGATAATGAGATTTAAAGATCCCTGAATGCGCTGTCCAATAAATCGAAAGCTTATTATATTTTTTGCGGCAAAAATGCATTAATCGCTGCCTGTGAGTTGGAAAATTACGAACGAGTTGTTGAAAGCTTTGATCGAATTCCGATGGATAAGCCGATACAAATACAAATAATAAAGATTAATGCCGACTAATTCCAAACAGGAATTATCGTAAATCTTCGTACAATCCGGTAACCTTTTTTTTTTTTTTTTGGATCACATCTTCGTGGATGTGATATGAAATGTGGATATTAAATGGGTATGAAATGTGTAATACTCGCTTTCAGGTCCACGTATATATTTTTTCGCCGTTTTAACGAGTTTTCCAGCATTGTACACGAAATCGAAAACTTCACAGATACTCGTGCGAGGCAATAAAAATACACATAGTCTCACCGTTGACTTGAGGCGCGATGAAACTGGCGAAGCCCATGGCAAGTCTGGTGAAGCCGTAGGTGGCAGGGAGCTTCTCGCAGCCGTAGTACTTGGCGAGGATGGCAGGCGCCAGCACAACGTACGCCCCCAGGCCGAACCCGTAGCACCCCATCGCTGACGCCGCGCCTGCCAGCGATGCTGTCAACGGCACGCTCATGGTGCCCGCTGCTGCCAGCGAAGTCCTGCAACGATGTTATTCCTGTCAACGCCTGTTCCAGCAGCATTCCAGTAAATTTTAGCCACTCATGTCTATTGAAGCATAACTGAGTGAATGTTGATGTTTGTTAACTTGGAGCCTTACGGCAAGCAGGGCGGTTGCAGGTAATATGGATAATGCAGCCACGCATTCAAGTGAATAAAACGTACCTTTTAAAGTATCTATGTGCATGATACAAGTTCACGCTTATATCGAGTCTCAAGTATTCGCTTAGGGGAATGCTGTTGCATTCAAGTGTTTTTCGAACATTAAGAAGTTTCGCTAATAAGGAAGAACTGATAGATATTAAAGAACCAACATACTTACTTTTTTGTACGGATAACGACTGGTTTAAATAGGGTTTTAACGGCGAAGTTGTGGTGACATCGAATACTTTCAAAAACTTTGAACTTCTATCAGTTGATCAACTTACACCAGAAATATCAGATGTGACAGCTTGAAGAAGCCGTAATCAGCGAGGAACCCAATGGACATGCGGCCGCAGAAATCCGACGCTGAAGTAATGGACAACAAAGTAGTCACCTTAGCGGTCGACATGCCAATGGACGTGAAGTATGCATGGAGATAATATGTAACTAATGGAGCAGCCATGCTTATAAAGAATGATGAAATACTCATGAGTATCATTGACTTTGAATGCAAAACCTGGGTGTCAAAACTCGCGCATACAGCCGTCACGAATGACTTTAATTCATTCCTCAATGATCTTTTCTTCTCAGGAAACACTTGATGCTCTGGATGGATGTTCTTGTCCATCTCTGAGCTATCGTTGACTTTTGAGATTCCGGGATTCTTGAAAGAATTTTCTAATGCAGATGGCGAGGCATCAGGTTCAACAAAGCAATTCCCAAACTCGAGATTTTCGACACTGAAATTTGTATCCTCCCCTGTCTCGTTTAAATTCGAAGCTGCACTACCATTCGATGTAAGTGAGGGCGGAGAATCAACTTTCGGAGACGACTGTTTTAACGCAAGTTGTCTTAATGAAATCTTGTGATGCGATGCCTTTGTCTCTAGAGATGTAGGAGCCTTGGGTGAAAGAAAACCGGAAGAAAATTCATCAACTGAAGACAGCGACGAATTATTTTTCAAAAGGTCAAAGTCCTTGTCATCATTGGGGCTCTGACATTCACTATAAAAGCGCTTTCTTCCGCCTGCTTTCAACAGATCAGCTGACGCTGCATGATGAGAGACTGGTTCCATCTCCGACACAGTGCGAGTCCTTTTAGTTTCAAGTTCATATTCTCTTTTATTATCTGAAGGAATTGTGAATTCTTTCAAATTTGGAACACTGACCAAAAGAGACGCGCTGCGATAAGGGGACAGCTGACGCGCTAAAAGTTTGCGGCGTTCGTTTTTCAATATATCAATAGTACTAGGGCTCTTTTGCGCTGCTTGGTGATTTGACAGCAGGAAATTTTCGAGTTTCGACCACGTTGGATTTTTCTCAAGATGTGCAACAGGCGAAGGCAATGACGAGCTTTTTCGGACGGAACGCAAGGCTCTTCTCCTATCCTGTTCCTGGATACGAGCCTGAATGTCTGTGGGTCTGAAGAGACACGCAGCAACAACGCATTGGAGTTCCAGAGCCGAGCTGATCAGAAGAGTTCCTCGCAGTCCATATTCACTCAAGAGATACTCCAGCAACATCGGCATGAAGAATCCTCCGATGGCGCTTCCAGACACGCAAATTGCACACGCGATTGTACGGCGCTTGTCAAAGTACAAGTTGACAATCAGGATGCCAGGAGTCGTGATCCAACCAACTCCTACACCTGTTGGGTAATTGTAGACGTCAGTCACACAACCCGAAAAACATTGACACATTCCAAAATATTCCATAATTAATTAATCGACAAAAGCATTCCATAATTAATTATTCCTGTGGGGTTTTCAACTAACTCACTGAGAGCGTCCCTCGCAACATTATGGATAAATGGATTCTAATAATGCTTGTTAAGAAACTTGAAGTATGGCAAATTTTTGCTATTACTTTAAGCATGATTATAGACACAACAGGACAATTCTGGCTGATACGGAACTAAAACCTGAGGTGTCATATTAATATTCTTAAGGCAAATTATCCTGCAATGCTAACATCGCACCTCGATGTAAATGTCAATTTATCACGGCTCGTTCAAATATTACGTCATTAATTATCAGTAACAAAATTCTTGATATGATCGCAAATTGATAATTATTAAAGTGCAAAGAAATGGCATGATCTTGAAACTCGAGACCGTAATTCAGAGACATCATTAGACTGCTATGTTTCAAGATAATGAAATCATCCATAACAGGTCGTGAGGCTTAAAGTTCATGACTTCACCAACAAGAAGACCAAGCGTGAAGACAAGAGTCGAGACGGATGTGGCGAAGGCACTTGATAGTAGTCCACAGAAGGCTAGAAGTCCCCCGGCAATGGCTACCCTCCTGGAGCCAAACTTGACACATAACACACCAGTCACCGGGCCTGAAGGTAAACAAAAGCGAGATGTACTTCGCTGCAAAAGTATGAATGGTGCAATGCCTGACAATGCAACGATCACTTTTATGTCGCATTAAACTTATCACTAATCTTCTAGCAACTGGGTAAACCCCATTTGCGCCAAAGCAGACTAATCGCTTAAAAGTGATATATTAAAGAAATGACCGCTCAAACGATTGGTCTTAACGTTCATATTTTTGGTCTTGAAAAACACAATATTGATGCTACGTTGATTATTTTAGATAATTTTAAACGGTTTGTTTCTGGATTTATGGATTTTTCCCCAAAGCCCTTGAATATATCATACAATCTCATTATCAGTGACATTCTTTTAGGATGTCATGGCACTGCGTGAATAATTTTTCACAATGTATATCAATTTCCTGAGAATTTAAAACTATGAGGTCAAGTTCTATTCTAAGAGATAATGATCTTTGATAGCTGGTAGATTAGATTGCAGTAATCACCACTGAGTTAAAGGCAGCAAGGATCGAGCATTCATTTACAAAGGCAGCAAAATGAATGACTATCTCAAGAGCAGCCACAGTATTCATTTACCCTTTTATGGCAATTTTATGATATGGCCTTATAAAATTCACAATAAAAATAAATTAAATAATAAGATTATTGTAGCGTTTTACATCATTAATTATCAAGAATGTACGGCGATTCACGTCAAAAAACAATCACAACCTATCATTAAGGAGCATAAATGAATGGATTGACATTCAAACACAAAGTAAATGACTCGCACATCTCTACAACTCACACAGCAGCAGCCCAGACATGTTTAGCAATGCATGTATCCATGATGCACGGTACGCTGAGTCTCCGAACTCGTTCATGATCCTGAGGTACAGCACACTGTAGCTCTTCAGGAACCCGATGGTCCAGATGTTAGCCATGCAAGAAGCAAGCGCCACGACCCAGCCATACCCACCATCTGGAGGTATGAACTGAGGTTCTTTCGTCTTTAGTTTGGAAGCATCGTCGTCAGTGCGTAAATTGTGACTTGAGCTCGAGGAAAGTTTATCGCTCCGAGCAGAATTTACTCGTTCGTCATTTTTAATGCTGTTTTCGACCATTAGTGAGCTTGTTTCCTCAGCATCTTCGCTATAGCTGTTAGTTTTGCATTTTGAGATAATAGGCCCTTCGAAACTTTTTGGATTGTTATTTTGAGAATCATTTCCCTGCGAAAATCTATGATATTGCAAGCCGTTTTCGATCGCGTCATCAATATCTCTGCAATATTCTTCGCCGGTACTTGGAGGACCTGGAAGTATCTGTACAACAACTGAGCAAAGCTCGCTGTCTGTCGCAGTAGCGGAGGCTGAGAGAACTTTATTGTCAGCCGTCGCTAAATTTTGTTCGTTGTTACTTACGGTACTTACTGAATTGCCACCTGATTCGCAAACCATGATGGAGCGTGAGTTAAGAGGTTACAAATCCGAACGATAAAATAATGTAACGTTTTTAGTTAATTAATTACTGGCTGCCAACAATCTGTTGACTAAAAAGATTTTTTAGGTGAAGACAGAAAAAGTGAAATAAAAGTGTGCACATGATGCTATAAGTTGGGAAGTTGGACATGACTGAATAACGTTAACTCCATCCATGTTTCATACCGTCGAATCACCAAGATATTATTTAAGAAACGTTTTACACAATAGAAGAGATGATGTTTACAAAGAACTTAGTCTTGGACAGTGCCAGTAAAATAAAAAAAACTGTGAATAGGAAATTGATTTAGGTTTAAATATAGCGCACCATCAACCAGTGTCCTTATTTCCATATTTTAGCAGAGGCCATTGTTCTGCCTAATGTATGGTAACAGTAACACGCATAATTACTTAGAATAAAGCAAGACCTTGACGTGCCCTGCACCGTCTTGCACTGAACATCACGGAAAACTGTTGCCATGTGCATACAAATGCTAGCGCTTCAAGCAGAGATAGTGTGACGATGCAGAATAAGATGCGGTCACTGCATATCCAGTCTCATTTCTCACGTGTTCAGTGGTTCTTTGACTTCTGCTTGCATGGACTCGCCGTGTTGCCGCTCCCTTACCTTGCTGTCGATGACCTAAAATCAAAAATACTGAAATAGTGTAGTACTCCAAAATTTCGAGTTTTTTACTTAAAATAAACTATACCTCTAACATGGCAACAGCGAGTAGGAAGTTTATGTCAGGTCTGCATATTAAAGTTCTTAATCGTTACCGCATCTAATATCTACGCTAATACCTTCGTCGTTGCTGCCCCGTATCTTAACGAAGTAAGTTATCTTCAGGCCGATCCTCACAACAGGCTAGTTAAGTTCCAGTCTAAGATACTTTATAGTTTTATGAGTAACTATTATTGCAATATTTATTTTTTGAACGATGGTTTCAGATAAGATTTACATGTCAACAGGGCTTTACAGTTGCCAATAGTATTATTTCAGTATTCAAACTTCGTGACATTAAATTATCCGGAGTTGCGTGTAAGAAATCAATAAAACTCCTTTATACATTCCCTTTAATTTCCCATTTTAAATTATTCGAGGAAAAGCTTCCGTTCACCTCATCCCTCACTTTTTTGGGAATGACTGGCACTTTCGCCATAAGATGGAAATACTTAGTCAACATGAGTCCGCTTGCTAGTGAGTTAGGAGGAATGTCGATTAGGTATAAACCGGCAACGAAACGTATTTTGATTTTCCTGGATCATTGTTAATTTATACACGTGATTAATCTTCACAGGAGACATTTTGAACAATTTTTACGTTTTTATGATGAAATTTATGAGTGCATAGATTGTTCATGTTATTTTCGCTTCAAAATACTAGGCAGAAAGCAGAAGACTGCAATTTGATTAATTAAGTAACAAGGAATATCGAGAATAGATTTAGACCTCATAATTTTGCGAGCATTGTAAAGCAAGCTACGGAGCAGTTTAGCAGTCTTCCATTCGATTTAAGCATATACAAGGCAAAATTTGCTTAAGTTAAGGCAAAGATATTGAACACATTTAGCTGTAGGCTGGTACGGTAATAAGTTGAACTGTAGGACTGGTACGGTAATAAGTTGAACTGTAGAACTGGTACGGTAATAAGGTGAACTGTAGGACTGGTACGGTAATAAGTTGAACTGTAGAACCTGTCTCTTATACACATCTAGATGTGTATAAGAGACAGCAGCTAANATACTTTTTATATACGCTATCGCTGTCTCTTATACACATCTAGATGTGTATAAGAGACAGGTAATAAGGTGAACTGTAGGACTGGTACGGTAATAAGTTGAGCTGAAGGACTGGTACGGTAATAAGTTGAGCTGTAGGACTGGTACGGTAATAAGTTGAGCTGTAGGCCTGGTACGGTAATAAGTTGAGCTGTAGGACTGGTACAGTAATAAGTTGAGCTGTGGGACTGGTACGGTAATAAATTGAGCTGTAGGACTGGTACGGTAAGGCTGTAAGGCTTGCTTCACGCTACACTGCCGGGCATATGTCAGTCAAGATCCAGTCCAATAATTTTTAATGCGTTTCTATATAAGCATTCGCACCAGACAGGCAAGGCAAGGCACCTGCCATGCTAGGGACGATCAAGGCAAAAGGTATTTTGACCGGGACGTGACTGCAGCGTTGCCAACTGTTTTTTTACGAGTTTATCAGATTGACCGCTCAAAATGCCCGATTTTAGCAAATATAGCAGATCAAAAATATATTTACCTGACTCTTTCTCAAAATACCATACATCTGGTATGGAAATATACCAGTTTGCAACGCTGCGTGACTAGCATGGCAAGTGATACGAAGGGAGCTGAAATGAGGACGGCACGTGACCGTACCGAACACGTGAAGGCACCTGGCACGTGCCCGGCAGCATGGTGTGAACCAAGCTTGATTGAACCGCGTTCGATCCATTCTTAAGGTAGAACATACAGGTTTGTAAAAATGTATTTTAGCTATATTTGGGAATGTAAATCAATAAAAACACATAAATAACATTAATAAAATATTATTATTAATCAATAAAAGACAATAATAATCTTTACTACAAAACTACAGCCTCCAATACGGATTAATACATTGTTTAAGGAAGTATAAAATCTACGATGTATTATAATCATTTGGCGGTGTCGGGCTCCTCAGTAACAGGAGGCGGGATGAACAAGAAGAGTATGGCCGCCACTGCCGTACACGAGCCCATGAGGTAATACGTGGGCGCGTAGCTCCCGGTCCCGTCCACGAGTGCGCCTGCACGATCAAACAGCGCGTTCAAGCACCGCACAAAATATTTGTAGACAATGGCAAATTTTTTAGACAATGGCCTTGCAAAAAATATGTAGATTTAGACCTCATAATTTTGCTGTCAGGCAATGACACTGTCAGACAATGGCAAATTTTTAAACAGTGGTCTTACAAAAAATTTGTAGACAATGGCAAATTTTGTTGACGAATTGTAACTTACTTGCCATCATTGGCAACACGTTCATACGGGACCTTCTAAAGCTTACAATAAATCGAATAATGAGTGGAGTCATATTGTATAAATAGTGACACACTTTCCTACTCACAGCATGAGCAGAAAGCTGATACGCCCATTTGCCGGAACTAACTAACTGGTTTAGGATGACCCACTCAAGCGCAATACAGGCTTCCATATTTATACAAAGTTTTACTTATTTCCTTGAGTGCACCGTTTCCAACGTATGATATGAACTCTTCAACGTCTACGGCACAAAATTAGTTGCCGTTTCTTAATTTTTAGTCTCAAATAAGAATGATAGACCGTATGAACTAAATTGAATAACATTTTTATCACGTCTTTCCATCAACTTTTGAATTTTTGTGAGGCCCTCATGAACGCCGAATCGTATTTGTGACTCGTGATTTAACCATCTTTAGGCAGCGGCGCGAGTTATGTGGCGAGGCATTGACCTTAGCGTATAGTCCGAATGTTATTTAAACCTTAGATGAAAAAGTCATCGCCAATCGATAACAATTTTAATGGAGGTTAATGTCTTAACAAGATGGCCATTGGAGCCTTGAAAACCAGTTTTGAAGTTCACTACGTGTGGATGGCGAATCTCGCCACGTTTCTAGGGTCGCGGACCTAAACCAAGCATCATCCTCCATGTAACTAGCAACTTCTGTTTTTTGGAATTTTATTTTGTAACTCGTAACGACTTATGGCTTTAAAATTTAAGTAGATAAAGTAAGAAATTAATGTTTTGTTATGTTTAAAATAGTATAATGAGTATATCTTATTTGGTTAAGGACATTTCTCAGAACATTAGAGTTCATCTTAAACCCCTTGCAAAAGCAACGGTCTTGCACGTTCGTGACTTGACAGACCGACCTCAAACCGGATCAATATATGCAGACTAACTCTGACCGCAAGTTCTGACAACCTTGGAGTTGATGTCAACTGTTGAACGCTCAATATTCTTTTGCCAACAATGTACGAACATCGAATTAATAGACTCTAAAACGCACGATTAATGACAAGTTTTGTGTAAGTCCAACGGATTACGAATTCCTGCCTGTAAACTAATTTTTTATTTAATTTCAGAGTGACGTTCACTTATCTGAAAGATGAGACACGTACACCAGAACTCATAATAAAAAATATAACTCAGTACTCACTGCAGTGAGTGACAGAGAGCGCATTTGACATAGCGCCTTTTTTCCATAAATGATAAAATTCGCTAAAAAGCGCAAATCTTTTTCGCCTCACCGTTGACTTGTGGGGCGACGAGGCTCATGAAGCCCATAGTGAGCCTGGTGAAGCCGTAGGCGACAGGGAGGCGTTTCACCCCCAGAGTTTTGGCCAGAAGGGTGGGCAGAAGCACAACGTAGGCACCCACGCCAAACCCGTAGCAACCCATTGCAGTCCCTGCACTTGCCAGCGTCGCTGTAAGCGGGACGAACATGGTGCCTGCTGCTGCTAACGCCGTGCTGCGGGAGCGTGGGCACAGAAAGAGAAGTAAATGAGTTCGATTGTCGAAATTTTGATAGAACTCGCAACACAAGGCGAGTACGGCCGTAGCACTCATACACTTTTTTCACGATGTCACGATGACCCACATAAGCGCAGAAATGGCTTTGCTATTTGGACAGATCCTTCTTACTTCTCTGAGTGCAAGCATGTAAGCAATTACCATCAGTCGAATTAGGTTGAAATATCTTTGATTATTACGAACAGATTTTGTTGGAACCACGTTTAATCCTTCAACGTTGTTCCGACGTCTGATGCATGGTGGGCAATACAGGGTCATCAATATTTAGCATTACAACGTTGAGTGGTTAGAACTATGAAATGAAACACAATTGTGAATGTTTGAAAATGTATTTATGTAGGCAGAGGTTCGATTAAATTCGATCATTTTGGGAGTTGAAGTGGTGTTCAACATCATGAATCATGCGTGCCATCATGAATGCGGGAAAGAAGAATCTTGGATCTTTGGAGGCGTTTGTCAACAACTTGACAAACGCCTCCAAGACAGTTGGTGTTTTTTGACATGCTTGAATGGGGACAACTTTAGGTCCTTCCAGAGAACAGTCGACATGGTTCCTTATACGACACATTTCACTGTTTTGCGAGTGTATTGATTTTGGAAAAACAATGTAACGCTAAATATTGATGGCCCTGTATATCACTACAAACGTGAACTCAATAGTAATTTGTAGCATCAGTCACAAGTTTGAGGCGGAAGTTTCCATCGGTATGTTATAGTTTAGACACATTCTATTCTGGAAGAAAATTTCTAGCATCGAAATAAAAATCTCGCAGCTCACAGTTGAGTCCTGACAATGAGGCTACATCGAGAACTTGAAAGTCTGTATCATNTGTGCCGCCGAACTGGTTGATGATGCTGAGGTACAACACACTGTAGCTCCTCAGGAACCCAACTATCCACATGTTAGCCATGCACGAAGCTAGGGCCACGACCCAGCCGTACCCGCCATCAGGAGGCACGAACTTCGGCTGGGTCTTCTTAAAATTTGAATCACCGACGATTGAGTTTGCTTTGGAAGCTTTTGAGTCGGTATCATCAATGGGGTTATTACTGGCAATCATTTTCCCCGCCGAAGACTTGACTATCGTTGCTTTTGGTACCTGACTTTCATCTATGAGACCCGATTCCTCGGTAGACTTGGACTTGTGAATCGGGACCTCCAGATCGCAACGGTCGTGAATGGATCCTAAAATTTGTGAGTTACCAGAGTCTCGTGAATTTTCTAACGATTTAGAATTATATGAATAACGTGAGTCAGGTACACATGTTGGTGATGAAGAAATAACATTATCATCCTGCGTGTTATTGTCCTGCTGATTCTGGCTGCATTCAACCGTATCGCTGAGAAGTTCCAAGTCACTCAAATGAGAGCGAGCGGGACCACTAGCGCGAGAGAGAGTCTTACCGTCCGTCGCTTCCGATAGACGGACAGCAAATCTGCTCTCCTGTGCTTCAGGGTCATTTTCTGAATACTTTTTATATACGCTATCGTCTTCATAAACCATCTCTATATGAGCTACGAGTTACATATACCGTAGAACTGGTTGTGAAATAAACAGGGATTGCTTTGAGCCTTTAAAGACCTGGAAAGGTATTAAACGACAGGTAATTTTAACGGATAATGATGCAAACAATAACTTGTGTACATCTTCTTGTCTGTATTTAAATTCAATTAAATCTGAATTAATTCAAATTTTCAGTTATTATTTCGGCTTTTAGGTTGTGAAATATTTACATCGTGAGACGCCAAGTAATGCCAACTCAAGTACAACATTTTAGATAATCTCCAAAAGCTTTGGCATCTGTAAACGGGAAAATTATCCAATTTTCGACCTGGACGCTGGCAGCTCGTTATAGCTGCAACAGTTTAATTTTTACCGTGTAACCCTTACGGGCTACTGTGGTTTACAAGGAGAATATATACAGCACAAATTTGATTCGTTCCGCTGCAAATCTTTAACATAGAAACTTATTTTTTTACACAAAACTTTGCTTCAATGTGTTATTGAACTTCCTAATGTATTCGTTTTATAGACATTTTTATTGGTTTTAATAAATTATACGCATTTATTCTATTATCTGAGTTCGATTGAAACTTGAAAATGGAGAAATTTGTAGACAGTCATTTTTCTGGGAAGCTACCTTTTGCAAAGTAAAACAAAAATATCTAGTATTTTACTTGCATTATCTCGGAAATAAATCTTTTTACTGCGCATTTAAATAATTGCAGACCTGTAAACAGTGTTCTTAAAGCTGCACAGAACGATTCGTCCACTACCATACAAGTTAAATTAAGTCAGAGGTACGACACCCTATCGTCACCGAGCATTGAGGAAGACTAAACAAATGTTTTGTGTCAGCTTATGGGGTATATATATCGTATTTTACTCTTATCAGAGGATTATTTAAGGCCAATACAACTTGTATCTTTCACTAAGTTCAGATTGAAAGGTTTAGGTGCGGCAAGACGAAACTGGTCGGGTAAATAAACACACGATAAATTGATAAAGTGAATTTACTCGTTTAGCTCACGTGACCTGCTCGATATGTGATGATCCAGGAGGGAGTTGGAAGGCCAGGCCAGTGATGAAGGTCGACGGCATGCGCGTGGTTGCGTGGTGAGTGGAGATACGCGTGGTTGCGTGGTGTGACGTCGTGGACGTGACGTCCTCGTTGAGGCGTTGCTGAGACACGAAAAGACGTTACCCGAAACACGAGGTGACGAGGGCACGTAGAGATGTTCACGCGTGGAGATGTGGAGATAACACCGTGAGCACGCTTTCGTGTTACTAAATGCCCGTAGAGAAAAAATTCACTAAATACACGTGGGAAAGTTCGCTAAATGCACGTGGGAAAGTTCGCTAAATGCACGTGGGAANCGTGGGAAAGTTCACTAAATGCACGTGGGAAAGTTCGCTAAATGCACGTGGGAAAGTTCGCTAAATGCACGTGGGGAAGCGTCGGCACGCAGAGCACGATGGCGTCGTAGAAGGCACGCAATGTTTCCGACGTTGTCCTTACGCGGGCACGTGATTATGTTCCAAAGGCACGTTGAGATGTTACCGGAAGCACGTAGAGAAGTTAACGGAGGCACGTGGTCTTGAGTTTATGCGTTGCAGGGGCCGAATGTTAGCCGATGTGGGGACACTGTTAATAGGGCAATGTTAATACACTATTTACACACCATTTCACAAATGAGCTATATGTCACGTGAGCTTCTACGTCAATGAAAATTGATTACTCAAAACTTCCAATGTCTCTCTCTGACATTACTTTACTCTGACACTTAACACACTGAATAAGAGCTATTCTAAGGGCAGATTTTGTAAGTTAGAGAGCTTACGCGAGATGTTGTCTGTTCAATGTCCGGAGTCAAATAGGACGCTTACCCTTACCGTTCTAGATCTAGGAGGCTATGAAATGGTAAGGCGTTAGGCGTGGCGGAAGTGAGATGTTGCCATCGACTAAACTGAGCTTTCTCCGAACTATTCTTATGATGATTATATAATTTTTTATGTGTTAAACTTAATATGGTAAGTATTAATATTAATATGAACATAAAACTAGTTCTAGGTAGCGAGATTTGATATACATAATATTAATTTTATGTAGCGAGATCCGCTACAAGCTGACTCCCAAACTCTGCTGCAACTGCAGCCTACAGCCTGCATTTCTACCCTGCCATTCAAATCAGCGACTATCAAACGTTTCGAATACATTATCTTATTTTTCATACAATAATGAGAATGTTAGCAAATGCACAAATTTCGTTGCATTTCTTATTATCTAAATTACTTTTTATCTAAGTAGTATCTCTTTGTTATCAATTTGTTTGCTTATTATAATCTTTTTATTATCTTTATTTGGGGTGCAGTAGAAAAGAATTTGATAAACACAAAATAGCGTTGAACCAGCTAATTCCAACAAAAGCAAGCATAAATTCTGATATTAACACGTGCCCAAACATATTAAAGAAGCTGGCATAAAATTTTATTTGATATTTAAATTCCAAAAGTTTAAATAGAGCGAAGCATCGAGACTTGGATCTCTTCACTAGAAGAAGGGAACTTCCGTTGCGTCTCCAACCTGACTAAACTAAGGAACAATTTGATTATATTGGAACAAATATTACTTGCGCCCATTTCTGCTTAAATAGAAAATCATTTTTTTAAAACGTTGCACCTCTCGTGGATTTCCAATAAACACGAGAGCTCCTTATTCTCTAAAGGCCCGTTCACACTATCGGGCTCGCAAGGATGACGTCACGGCTCCGAATCGCCAGATGCATTGTGGGATCGACGGCCATGTTTGTAGACCGAGCTAGCTTTCGCTACAGTATTCAATCTAAGTCTCCATTTGAAATTTTTGCTTGAAGATGGGACGCTACTGCGCCGTTATTGGATGTACAAGTCGTTCTCACGACCATTTAAACAGAAAACTTGACAATGGAATGAGTTTCTTTAGTTTACCAGCCGTGAAGGAAGGACAAGGCAGCTTAGTTCTCGACGTTACCACAAGACGTCGACGAGCATGGGTGGCAGCGATTCGACGTGGGGCCATCACATTTGAAACTAAACAGAAAATCTTCGTTTGCTCAAGACATTTTCTCTCTGGTACGTATTATCATTATTTAGTTATACCTCTTTACTTTGGTCATATCTATTATAAACACGGTGCTTCCTTTCTATCTTTGTTCTTGATCGTCATGGTGAACATAGTTCTGCACAAGCAGTTGTCTTTCCAAAACAGAATCAGGNTTGGCTGTTGCCTGTTCAGGCTGTTTGACGGCATCACACTTCACACATAGCCTAACTGCTGCCTAAGATATTGGTTTAATGGATTAAATCTTCAGTAAATAAGGAAATTAAAAATGAACTGCTTCTAGAATATCTCTGGTTTGTCACTAGGCTATGTAGAATTTGAA